TAGTTTATTCTTTGTCTTCATCAGAAGATTCAAAATCAAAAGTTCATATGAGCGAGATAAATATGTTCTTGGTTGCTGGCCAACAGCTCGCATATCCTTTGGATATGCTTCAGAAACCAATTCACATTGTAAATCGTCATTACAGCCATGCAGCAAAAGACCACGTATACGGCAAGGTGGTAATAAAGAAAGGTCTGTTATTTTTTCACCAGGAAAATCTTTTTTCTAGCGTCATCTAGTGATGTAAGTCGTCTTTCGCGATATTTTTTACCTTTGCCCGTCTCATTATCGATCAAAATTTGTATATTTGGATCATCGTTTGCGAAGAGAATGATTGGGATGTCTATTTCGCCCGAGCAAGAACGCAAAATACAATTTGTTTCCGCACCTCCATTAATTTGCAATGCAAAGAGGAGTAGGTAAGATATTTTGGTGTCCTCGTGGTTGGTTGGTAGTCAGTTCTAGGATATTCTCGACACTTTCAATACTAATCTTGATATTTTTTGATCCAATCAAGATTAGTATTGAAAGTGTCGAGAATATCTCGGCCTACATGCTTTCAGTGGTAATGACTATCTGTCTTTCTTTTTCAAGATAACCCCAACTTTCTAACAATTTTTAAAGAGCTGGGATAGACAAAAGATGCTTCTGATGACGTAATTGCTGGTTTAGAAAAAATTGTTTGTACATGTACCTTGTACGGCGAAAACCGACTTACATCAGTAGATGACACTAGAAGAAGGATCTTCTGAAGAAATTTTAATTGTGATGAAAAATAACAAAACTTTCTTTCTTTATTACCATATTGCCCAAGTAGTCTTTTGCTGCACATTAAACGCAATAATTATGTTGCAGCAATATGGAGACAGGTTGCAAAATTAATGATCGAACAAGATGACTCTGCGATACAAGATTGGAATGAAGATTTACAACGTGAATGGGTATCTGAAGCATATCCAAAGGATATACGCATATCAAGAAGATATCTATCCCACTCATATTATTAGAATAAACTAATATCTAAACATGTGTTTTTTATGTACATTTCCAGATCTCTCGAAAAGTGCCATTATAATTTAATATTTTGAATGACGATATTGGCACTGAACGAAAACTCGAGAAAATACTTTTCAGGTCAATTTTGAACCAAGTGGTTTCTGTCCCCCAAAATACATTTACCTCCCCCATACAATGGTAATCGTATACACATATTTAGAGATGTGCAGTGGAATTAAAAAGTAATGTTTTTACCAAGCTCTAAGAAAATCATCAACGTGAACTCACTTCCTGCCAATTGTACCCCCCCCCCCCCATCCATACACGCACACCTGCTACCCCCGCCCCACCTCCCCACATATCAAAATAGTTGTCCAGGGGCATCATGAACACTTATATAAAGATGGGCAGTCCTAGAAATTTATGTTTTATTAATATATTATGTCAACATGATGACCCCCCCCCCCCACACACACACCTGCTATCCCCACCCCACCTCCCCACAAATCAAAACAGTTGTCCAGGGGCATCATAAACACTTATTTATAGATGGGCAGTCTTAGGAATTTATGTTTTATTAATATATTACGTCAACATAATGACATCTCCCCCTCCCCCACCCCCACCAATTGTAGACATTTAACCCTCTATATTTCGAAAACGCCCCCTCAAACGCCTGATCACCACCCAGATTCGGAATCTACGCAAAAAACTGGTCTAGAAAAACTTGGTCTCATAAATTCACAGCTCGGGTGGCGATTCCCCCCTTCAGCCACCGGACTAATATGGTTATTTTAAAAACAACAAAACTTTTTTCTCGGTGAAAATGATCATGCCTTTTAATATACACGAATATTAAATGAATATATCATAGGATTGTGGGGAAAGTATGACCATTTATTAAAAACATCTTCAAAATTTTCTATCTTGTATATTCGTTATTGACTATCGTGTTTGATCTAAGGAATAGACCAATGTTTCGATGAATCAACGTAAGTGTCTTAAACCTAAGCTGTCTATGATCATTATTATGTTTCCATATTTAGATGGGAAAATAGCGATGTGATTGAAACCAGTAACATGTGTTGCAGAATAGCCCCACGAATATGATCTTACCTAAACCATCAACCTCATTACGTCTTCTATATTTCAATTCAAATTCTTCCCATTCCAACGCACCTTACCTAACGAACTTAAAAAAATCAATAAGCGAATGACAAGAGAAAAAACAAACAATACGGGAGTAATTTTAAAACGTGGTCATTTGCCTATGGGAAAAGCAGTTTTCATGAAAGATACGCTCACATTTTGCAAGAGATGGACAGAGAACAAGCTACATAAGCGATCTTTTACAATCAGGGGCCATAATCCAGTAGACGTTGTACAAGGGTTAATCAGCGAACTGGATGTATGAGATGTGTTGTTGACGTTTGGGAAAGTAGGACGAGGGGAAATGTGTAGGGAGTGAAGTGCTGTAAAGGGATAGTTAGATGTATTATGAATGGTTAGAGTGGCTGTGGTGTTACGGTGAAATACTATGCCGCCACCGTAACACCACAGCTTTATGATTTGTTAGACAGGAGTGATGTAATGGGTGTCAACAACTGGGTATGCTGGTACTGTCGCAACGTAGCCGTGAAATATATATTGTGGGGGGGAAGGGCGGAAACGGAAAAATATACAATGTTGACAGTATGTGCCAGGCATGAGGCTGCGCAGACCGAGCGGGAGCTCGATAGGGAGTGTGTGGGAGGGTCACCCTCATAAAAAAAATTTTTTTTTAAATTTCAGTTTTCTGTAAGCAGTGAAAACACTATTTTGGCATTGTTTGCCACTAGGCTTCCTATATTATTGTTTGTGGACGGTTTACTACTCAGTGATAAGCCTGCGCCGCAAAAAGAGGTCTCGCCTTTTATTATTAGTATAATGACTTCCTCATGTGCGGCAGGTTAGTTTGCTTCTAAAAACACTGTTTTCCGTTCCAAAAAATACAAAAGTAATTTTCTACCAGATGACCATGGTTCTTTTCACCGAGACTAGATAATTTCTCTCGGTGTAAGGATATAGCTATGGATAAGTTCATACAAGGTCAATAAATCCGCGGTCACTTCGGGTCACACTGTTGAGAAAATAAACCGATGGGTTTGTTTAGTAGCAAATCGAGCGTGAATCAACTGAGTTTGTACTGAAAAATTTTTGAGTGATATGTATGAACTGTCTTCACACATTCGGTTTATAATTAGCGATACACAGGTACAGTGGCAAGTGTTGTACTTCACAGACTGTTTACCTCCGAACTACCTCCGCACGAAATCCCCGATTTGGGTACTTGTTAAAAGAAAAAGAAATAGTACCTGTGCGCATGCCAGTAAAAAAAACCCTAAAAGTTCGCGCATAAAAATGCCCGAACGTACCAGGCGCCAGGTCATTCAGTATGTTATTGTGCGACAAGCGACAATATCAAATGGAACCAAAATCCTTGGAATATAAATATGTATTTTAGGTTTCATCAAAATCGGATAAAAATTGTGAATTCTAGAGGATCCACAAGCCCAAAACACGATTTTCGTACAAACAGGGGCCATAATAAATGAAGTTACGGTCCGATATGCGCGAATATCGAAAGGAACCTAGATCTTTGGGATATAAACATGTATTTTAAGTTCATCAAAATTGAATAAAAATTGTGAATTCTAGAAGGTTCACAAGACAAATAAGCGATTTTCGCACAATCAGGGACCATAAGCCATGAAGTTACGGTCCAAAATGCGCGAATATCGAAAGGAACCTAGATCCTTGGGATATAAACATACATGATAACTTTCATGAAAATCGGATAACAATTATTGTGACCTCTAGAGGGTTCACAGCCTTGGTATTACTCTATTAGCGGCCATTTTTCCGGGGTCCGATTTTGTCGGGCAATTTCTGTCCGATTTTCACCCCCATTACGGTGTAACTGTGATATATTTAAACAGTTTTAAAAATCGGATAAATATTGTGACCTCTAGAGAGTCCACAAGCTAAAAACGCGTTTTTTATTTGTAGAAAAAGGGACCATAATCCAGGAAGTTACTGTCCCATCTGCGATAATATCGACAGGAATCAAGATCTTTGGGATATAGACATACAGTTCAGGTTTCATCAAAATCGGATAAAAGTTGCGACATCTAGAGGGTCCACAACCTTGATATTACATACTTTTACACTATTTGCATACGAGGAGCGGTCATTATGTCAGTCCAATTTTCACGAAATTCGAACTCAGCCGTCATTAGGGTGTAACGGTGATGTATTTGAACGGTTTTTAAAATCGGATACAAATTGTTACCCATAGAGAGACCACGAGTTAAACACGCGATTTTTCGTACATCCAGGGCCCATAATCCAGGAAGTTACGGTCTGATATGCGCGCAGGCCCTCCGTCCTGCACCACGCCGGAAAATCTGAAAGGAACTTTCTCGTCCATTACAATATGTAAATTTAGAAAATTCTCAAATATGGAAGTTAATACAGCGATATGAATTTAAATATATTTTATTATTATACCGGTTGTTATTCATACATCGGATTATTGTTGTAGATATTTTAAAATATTCTTATACTAGAACAAAAAATTATTCATCGTAGGCGACCTTGTCTTACAGAAGTTATTTTAACAGAAAAATATCTCCTGTATATATAAAGATCTTTTCGTAGGTCTACTATTAAAGCTTACGTCAATGAAAACAATTGATCATGATATTTATGTTACAGTGATTGGAACAATATGACATGTAAATACATTTCAAAGTATGTCATGTTTTTTATGAACACATCTCAACAAATTACATTCAGATCAATTTTAAGGCAGGCAGATAATCGATGTCAAATGGCAAAAAGCTGTTGCGTCTTCTGACTAATATTTCAAAAATCTGTTTCAAGGGATTGCAATAGATATATTAATCAATATAAAAGTATAAGACTGTGACGTATTGAGTGACATTATATAAGACATATTCCAGCCACAAAAACAGCAGTTGAAGAACTTGAAGAACTTGAAGAACTTAAAGAACCCATTCATCAAGATGTTGTTTTGGGTTATTCTGGCATTATTTCCACTCGCCATTCAGGCCGGTACAGGTAAGCAATCAATTGTCTTGAATAAGTAATCAAACAGTATCATGTGTGCAGATCCATGCCAGACCTAGCCTGTTAGTTTCTGATGGAACTGAATTTATGTTTAGTCGTTTTGTGTTTTTTCTTTTTATTTTTTGAAGAAAAAACCCCCTGGTATTTGTCGTTTAATGGTCGAGAGCGAGACATTATGTAATATATTGATATTGCCCGAGGACGTTAGTCCTAGTGGTAATTCAATATATTACACAATTTATTACTCGAGACCATTGGAGATCTTAATCGGAAGGAAACTACTCTTATTTTTTTTTATCCTCGTTTATCACCTCACTTGATTGGGGGAGAATCCATTACCAACTTACAGAACAGACACTGGCCACCATGTGCATTTGAATGAAAACGTCACGCGAGTATAAAATTGGCCCGTTGTCCGTACAGTATTTGAAATGATGTTTTAATATTGCGGTATATATGTATATGCGTATCTCCTTATATACGGAATTTAAATCATATTTGCTTTAGGTTGGGGTAAATAAAATGCAATGTGTTTGGACGTCCTACTTTTCTGCACCGAATGGGATAATGAAGACGGGCATACCACAAACTGTGTGCTATGAGGGAAATTATGTTCGGACAGCGGCGCCACGGCCTACTCTTATTTCGAATTCCAACTATTAATTGGTCGTTCACTTGTACGCCAATGTGCCAGGTATTTCCACCCATCCGAACAACTTTACATTGTCCCTTGCCAGTCCATCCGTACCGCACCATTGACATTGATTATATAATTTAATTCCTGTTTTTTGCATTCTGTAAACACATATGATTTTATATTTATTTTCAGATACCCCTTGTGAAGTTGGAGGAGTATCACATGCGCATAATACAACATTTATGACAACTGCTAGTGGACCATGCATAACGTATTTTTGTGATAACGGAGGATATGCCCCTACATCTATAAGTAAGTTTTCTCAAATCAAAGTAGTTTTCAATTTAAATGGTTATATAAACTACCTCTCTTTAATTCGCACTTTGAAATAGTTGCATATAAGCCATTGAAATACTAATTGGTATTTTAGACACGTTAACCAATTTTGTACAAAATAAGGTGGGTTCGTAACGGTGTCGACCGGATTTTACTGACTACGCCTTCGTTTTGGCCCTAAAAGTACTAATATATCTCAACCCACATGACGGCCGTTTGTATGTAAAGTATATATTGAAAAGTATCTGGAATTCTTGAACTATTGAAACCGTGGGGCAAACTGAAGTGGACGTACTTATGCGCTTTGCCTCATGGGTTTAGCGTTTTTGAGCCCCTCTCATGTAAATAAAACCAACACAACCTATTCACCGACACATATATGCGGCAAATCAATTCCACCCAGTCCAAAATATATGGTGACCACGTACCTCATAAAACCATATGGCACAACCTAATATTTTGTATCTTAGAATGCGGGTCTGGTGATGGACAATGCTATGATATTGGTGTTAACAAAACCACTAGCTGTGTAACTCAAACATGTGAACAGAGAAATGGTTTTATTGGTTTCTATATCACAGAAGGCGGTAAGTAGTTTAATTATGTTTGATTGATCTTATGATTTCATTGGCTTATATACATAGGGCTATATATAGGAAATTCCTCCGCTCCTTCGTACTTTTATTTAATCTAAAAAGAATCCCAGACAAAGAAAGATTACGGGTATAGAGTGTACTGTCCGATAAATTTAGACCAGTCAAGATTAACTCAATGTGATTTAGAAATCACAGATGACAGCACGCTTCATTCTATGTAGAGCAAATTGGTAAATAACGTCTTGCACATATACTGACGTCCAAAAGAAAGTATACACACCAAAAGTATGACTTGATAAAGCATTACTGAGTTTGTCTCTTGCGTCCAAACTCAACATTCGTAAGCAAAATAAAAATGTGAAACAAATTGACATTCTACCCTAATACCGTATACCATGGAAAAACGACTTTGGTTGATGCTTTCATATATTGCAGATCGAGTTACGAATAATATTCTTAAATTTGGATTCGCGGCTCCATGTATTGCGGGTATAGGCGGTATCTCGAAGATGTAATAAGGGGTCATTTATCACCACTGAGCATATCTGCAAATGAAGTATTGACTTCAAAATCTTTAGTTCAGATATCAAATTTGCCATGTTATGATGAAGCAGCGTATACATGTAATTAGTAACATTATGTTCATGGGGTCTGTTTCACGAAATTTTAACTAAGATAAAATCCAAATTTTAGTAATTTGATTGGATAATATTAAATTGATTTTAGTGCATAGCCAATCAAAATTGAAGTATCTACTAAAATTTGGATTTTATCTTTAGTTAAAATTTCGTGAAACAGGGCTCAGGTTGCTGGTTATGGGGGTATGGGTGCCTTTGAAATTTGGTATAAGGGACCGGATAACACCACAGGGTACATCTTCAAAAGAAACAAATAGCCCAAAAACATTCATTTGTATGTGCATAATAATGCATTTATCGGTTTTATACCTATACCTTTGAGATTTTCTTGTACATTGATTAACGTCCTCTTCCACCGAGGCTGATATCGTAGACAAAAATATTTCTAAAAAAAAACCTGTCAATAAGAGCTGGTGCAGGAATGGGAGGACAACCAAAGCACCAGAAGGCGCATTTGTGTCTTTTGAGGTACAGTGAGACAAATCAGACTCTCAGCGAGAAATATTTCTTGATTTGGGCAGGTCTTTTCCGATGATGGAAGAGGACATAATAGCTTCAGACAGTTACCGCAACCCAATGATTGTGACCAAACGAAAATTGCGTCTGAATTTTGGACCAATGCGCTCGTTTATCGACTGAAATTCTGGCTACGGGCTTTTGTGTTTCCCTTATTACTTCAAATATGCTTGCCCACGTACAAACTGTGTGATTGGATGATATATGTGGGTGGTCAAATGATTGTCACCTTGGGTAGTGCACACTATTACAATTTAAAAAAAACCCCGTCAAAACAAGTTATGCTTTACTTTTTTTAATATTAATAATAAATAATATGCCACTTATTTGAACAGTCTGGTGTGATATATGAAATTTTTAGTTGTTCAAAGAATGATAAATTATCGCATAAATATATCTATTTGCTGAGCAAAATATGTTGCCACTGAAACATGTTACCATTTTCTTTTTATAAAAAATCCAACACTGCGTATCTACAGATATTTAAAACACGGTTATATGATGTAATGTAACAGCATTGCTCAACTGCAATTTACTAACAACCCTTTCGTATAAGTTATAAAAATATGTGTATATTTTACGTATCAAATGATAGTTTTGCTACATTGAATTGTACCGTACTGTACGGAAATGGAACAGGCTCATCTACGTAATACGTTTCTTACACATCTAAGTTAAATTTGAAACAAACATTAGTTAAAAAGGAAAAATGTTTTAGCAATTGGTGACATTTTTTTTAATGCACGACGGGAATAATACCTAGTTCAAGATGCCGTAGAGCAGACCTTGTGGTAATATTAAGGACAAATCACCAGTATGACGCTGTCATCGTGATTTTTATCCCATATTTTGTGATCCATTTAAGTAGTATAGACTGAAAATAGCTATGGCCCCAAAATGGATCCCTGGAGAACACCACATGATCAGATTACATTTACAGTTATTTATGAGTTTAGAGTTAAGAATCTATATAGTATCAAAAGAAAATTGGATATAATGTTACAGATTTTGCTTTATTATATTAGCCAAAAATGTATTCTGTATATTTAAGGTTGTTCAAACGGAAACGATTGTTTGGATGTTGGTGAATCTGTTGTAGAAAACTGTAATAATAAAACCTGTGTTCAAGAGGGTACAACATATTCTTTACAAACTACCTATAGTAAGTTTATCTATGGTTTTATTTAAACACTTGTCTTGTGGGTTTGCATCGTTGGATCAAAACAACTCCATTGGAATTTAACACTAATGGAGTCAGGAAGATCATAAGTGGTCTGAAACCTGTTATCAATACGTGTTTATTCAATCCGTTTTTACACGCGGGTCAGGGAATAGGGTCGATCGGCTAATCCTATAGTGTTTCTTTATTTGGCAAACCCAAATGATCTAGTTGGTGTCGAGTGGACATTAAACTCCATTTAAATGTAAGTTATACATCATACATAGGGCTGGATGGAACTGGATAAAAATTGTACCTCATCATGTTTGATCGTGGCTGTTTACAGGAAATTTGCTTCTATAAGAGGCCAATAAGGGGGACAACCAAAGGTTTCAGCCGTATGATTTTTACGGAACAAAAAATATCATACAGCTGTATACGATTATTATACTTTTGGTGGATATGGCCAGGGCACCGAGTCCCCAACTACACAACCACTTACATCAATAAAAATATAAATGGTCGATATTATTAAACCTGTATTTATTGTATTGGTACACAACAAAATCCACGTTTTTAAATATGAGAAATACTGCTGTACGGCAAAGATAGGGAGCCCTATTCTTGTGGGGCCCGCGGGCAACTGTCCAAGGTGCCCATGCGTGAAGATGGTCCTGGATATGGCAATATGTACACGTTAATTATAAAACGTGGTTTATTATTTGTTATGGTGATATAATTAGTATAGAGCATATGCATATTATACAATGTTTTCAGGTTGCTTGGGTAATGATAATATATGTAGACCAATGGGTTATGTACAAGAAAGTCATGGTGGTTGTATTAAACAGACCTGTGAATCCAGATCTGGATATATTGGATTTTACATAACACAAATGGGTATGTTTAACTATTTGTTCTTTATTTCTTAGCTCTGTATAAAGGTTGTTATAGTTGCGATAGATTTACTTACGATTCTTTACAATATGAATATATATAAAGTACAGTTTATTGGAGGAATTATAAAATCATTGTTAAATGTAAATAGAGAAATCCAGATTCGAATACTGAGAATTAAACACATCCTCTTTGACTTTAAGCTAACTAATATATTGAATTAAGTTGATCTGATGTGTTATTTCAACAGTAGAACACGGTCGGTTTTATCTGAACAATGACTCAATCTAAAGAAGCTAGCCCAGCCGGTACAGAAATGTAGGCCTTTAAACTCCATTCAGTATCATTTCTAAAGACTATGTTATGTTTCAACTCTATTTCAATAATTCGCTTGCGTTTAGGGGTCTTTAGCAGTGGAAGGAAACCGGAGGACCCGGAGGTTGGACAGGTGACCCTACTCCTTGTCACCTACAAAAGGGGAATCGAAACCACGCCAGTTGAATCAATGACATCCCTAATGACAGACTTAGCCATTGAGAAGCCTTGAACGTTGATTACTTTTGCTCTATGTCAGTGTCATAATTCATGTTTTGTTGTATTATTATTCAGATTGCCCTTATGATGGCGGTTGTCTAGCTATTAATGATACAGATAAACAGGGTTGTCTGACCAGAAAATGTGTTCACGGTTCAGACGGTTCGCTTGGCGTTATAACTGACGGTGTTGGTGAGTGCTTTCAAAATCTCTGATTTCTAATTCAGAAAAAGAAATAAAAAATGATTTGGAATACAATAATTATAGGGGATCATCTCAAATACGAACTATTTCCTGTTTTGATTTTAGATAGTTGAGTCACCGGTTCCCATATTGTTCCCATTATTGTATATATTCGCCCACTATCTGAACCGTCGTGAACAAACTACTTAAAAAAAAACCTTGCCTATGTCTTTGAAATCACCTTACGTTAAATGAAATTCATTGCAGAATTAAATATCCCAACGAAAAAAAGGTTATCTTATGAAAAGTCAATGTTTTTGCTTGTATTTTCGACTGTGTTCATCACAGCATTGCACATGTCACGCGACGGGCTAAACCATCGTAATAAGTTGAAAGGGAGGGGGGAGGGCGTAACGGTTGACGAATTTTGACAATAACGTGTGTTGCAATCAAAACAGCGCAACAAAAATAGCAACTGATGACAATTACATTAATTTGGAAACAATTGAATGTCAGTCTACTAAATTTAATTCACAATGAATATATCACCGATTACACAAATACTCACATCATCATTACGCCATAATTGTAAATACCCTGTATATTATATATATTTTTATAAATTATATTACATCCCTGTCAATTATAGGCAACTTCGTGGCTAACATTTATAAATAAACACACTTTATTTCATAATTTTAATTGATCATATTTCATAACGGGGTCTAGTCCCATTGCTCTGTGGTTATTAGTCCATTTTAAAAGTTTTATGATTACAACAAAAATGTGAAAAAAGGTCACCGCTTCTCAATAATTTCCATATTTAATTCACGTTCCGACTGTTCATGTCAATAATATTCCTGAATAAATTACTTTTTTTTATTCGACAGATACTAAAATCGAAACATTCTTGAGAAGAATAGTTCAGGATGTCTAAACATCGTTTATCGTCTCTATAAAAATGTATTCAAAACAAAAAATCACTCGTCAAAAGAGGCATCGCAGATTGCGTGTATTATTGGGACTCGTGTGTTAATTATGCAGACCGTTGGAAAAACTCGTGCAAGTTTCGTGCTAAATTTAACCATTTTCACTGCATCTGTGTAGCATACAATAACTCATATGGCATGATACCTTTTACGGTAATGTAATTCAAAGCGATGATTTGCTAGTTCATGGTCGCGATCTACGAAATGCCGTCAGAAAATTCCATTCTCCATGGATTTCAAAATGGAGTTGTACAGGGATTAATATATAGTTAATAACCGAGAGTACAATCTTATGGATACATTGCTCTGTGAATTTCAAAACAAAGCCGGGATTTTGGTAAATTAAACGCACGATTATATAAAGTAAATATTTAAATTCCGTTGGAATTCGATATAAGAATAGGCCGTAGTGCCGCTGTCCGGGTGAAATTTTTCTCATAGCACATTGTATGGCGTATGCCCATCTTCATTAGCCCAGTTCGGAGCAGAACAGTAGGACGTTAAACCCCATTTCATTTCAATTTTTAGAATGCAGTTATAACGATGAGTGTGTGCCAGTTGGTGAAAGCAGAGAAGAGGGATGCATCACCAGAACATGTGTCCTTGAAAATAATACATTTGGTATGACTATTACAAGAAACGGTATGTAGAATTGTATACTAACTGTAAACGGGTTGTAATAAAATTTAATTAAGAAAACAAAAGAGCTACAGTAAATATTCTACTGACTTGGACTCAATCGATAATAATGCGTTGTGATATGTTATAGTTTCCATATAAATAAATTTGTTCCGGGTTTGTTTAACCACGGGTCAGATGAAACGGAAGTTCTCTTACCAGCCTAGAACTGATATTCCTATTTGAGATTCAACTTTCACATTATTGAAGTTTGTTACAGATTAAAAATTCCTCAAATGACGATCAGCAGTTTGTTTTTTTCTACAAACTCCCTGCCATAGGAATAAAAATTCTTGATTTCAGAGAATAAATCTAGCAAGACAGAAACATTACTTACGGTGATGGGCGGGGCTGACACCATTTAAATACTTGTCGTTAACTGTCAACTTGATAAAAATCGTCTTATAAAATACTTGTTAAACTGGTGTCTAGACATTGTCTGCGATATCACTTAGGTGGAAGCGGGCGTTAAACAAAGCTATTTCACACACACGTGTCAGAAATAGAAACAAAATGATACAGCTTTTGATCTAAGCGCTCGTGACGTTTTTTGTTGTCATTTATCAATATTTTCTCTGCTCAATAATAATTGGTTGGGTTGCATAATCCCCAATTTATTTATTATAATATTAAAGAAAGGTATTTTTCTAAGACGCACATTCTTCTTGTAGACTGTTCCACCAATAACGACAGTAACGCCAGTAATGACGCTTGTACAATTGGAACAGAACAACAGTCTGGCTGTATTACATACAGATGTGAAAACGGACCAGAGGGAATCACATTTTATGTTATACAAGCAGGTAAATGGTTGTTTATTCACCACACTCTTTCCTCTTAAATACTATTCCTAATCAAAATACGTTCAGCGCTATTAATGTCGACTATCGACTGAAAGTCTGCTTCCTGGGAGCATACATCCGAGGGTTGAAAAGTGTTAGGATAGTGCTCCACAACATCAAAGTCCCGATTTAAATATGGCAAATGTTCAGAACGTTACTTGTCCCTAAATGACCTATCCTGTGTCGAGCTATATGTAAGCTCTCTCTCTCTCTCTTTCTCCCTCTCTCCCCCTCTCTCTCTCCTCTGTGGTTTACTTGTTAATATTAGATCAAGTTGGATTAAGTGGGATTTAACGACCTACTTTGCTGTACCGACTGTGATTTGAGGACGGTCATACCTCATACAGTGTGCTAGGATGAAAACTGTAAATGGTCCTTTTTAAGTGCCAGGGGGGTTGGATAGCTGAATGGTTAGCGTGCGCGCGCTGTATCATAAAGTCTGTCATTGAGTCGACTGGCGTGGTTATTGAATCCCCGGTTGTACGTGGCAAGGAGTAGGGTCGCCTGTACAACCTCGTGGGTTTTCTCCGGGTCCTCCGGTTTCCTCCCACTGCTAAAGACCCCTACGTGCAAGCGAATTAAACCCCATTTCTCTCTCTCTCTCTCTTTTTACGTGCCCACCAATTTCTACACGGGGGATCGGTCTTTTGTCTAAGCTGATCGACTAGACACTTCCCGTTCCAGGTCGCCAGTCCTGCATCGTATTCGAGAGGACGCCTTACACGCTGGGCCACTGCCGCTTTCTAGGGAATTCTAAACGATAGTCCAGTTCCCGTGATTCAGACACAGTTACAATTGTTGATAAACTACGAGGGGTGTTCCAAAAGTTTGCAACCCCCAATATGTATCTCAATATGTGCTTGATATACAAAACATGAAATCCACGTGCTATAATGTCCTAAATATAGCCGTCGGACAGCATGCCCTCCTCACTTGCTTTCGAGGATGTGCTTTCTTGGGTAGCATTAATTTTTACTCCGAATGACTTTGACCAAGAGACAAAAAGTCACAGTATGAAGTGAAAGCAAGCTACGTCTCCAACACCAAAAGAGTTCAAAATAACTTCTTCCAGTGGCAAGGTCTTTTCCACTGTTTTCTGGCACAAATGGAGCCTATTACCCAGATGAATAGGCGGGTTGCATGATCAAATCAAAGGAAAGCGCTGACATAGTCTTCGCCTAGGTGTCTACCTGCTCCAGGACAATGCTCTGGTTCATACCGCCCAAGTAGCAGTTAGTGTTGCACACGACGGTGGCTTCAAATCTAGCTCACTCTGACCTTTTCCGCTCCCCAGGAAAAGGTCAAGGGCTGCAGATGTGGGATGGATGATAGGCCATCATTGCCCTGGGGGAGTTTGTAGGATCACATGAAAAACAGGGTTCTTCTGCCACTGACGGGGGAATAACATGTCAAGGGGGATAACAATTTTCATATAAATCTCATATTACTTAGGGAGGCCAGAAACCTTTGGGACACTCCCAGTATATGTTCGGGATTAAATAAGGAGTGGTTGATAAACTATATTTTTACGTAGTTCCCTTTGACTGCTCAGGATTAAATGGGCATTTGTTTAGAAACAGTTACAATTTCAGTTATTTGACCCGGGACATTCTAAATAAGCGACCAGCTGCCATATTGTTCAACTTCATGGGATTATATGTATATTCATCTAGACACAGTTAAATTTGTTGTTAAACTATGGTATATATTGTTCTTGTTTCTGTTTAAGAGTGCAGTTATAACGATGTGTGTGTGTCAGTTAATGAAACCAGAGAAGAGGGATGCATCACTAAAACATGTGTTCTTGGAAGTAATACAATTGGTATGATTGTTACAAGAAATGGTATGTACGAATTGTATACTTACCGTAGACGGGTTGTTAGATTATGTCATAAAAATATAATTAAAACAGAAAGAGTAAATAATCGTCGGACTTGGATTCAATCGAATAATACTACATTTTGATATGTTGTAGTTTTCAGTTACATTTGTTCGGGATTAAATGGGCTTTTGTTTAACAATTTCAGTCTTTTTACCCAGGACCTTTAAAATGAGAGACCGGCTGCCATATTGTTTAACTTCACGGGATTAATTGTATATTCATCTAGGGACAGTTACAATTGTTGATAAACTATATTATATATTGTTCTTGTTTCTGTTTTAGAGTGTAGTTATAACGATGAGTGTGTGCCAGTTGGCCAAACCAGAGAAGAGGGATGCATCACCAGAACATGTGTCTTTGAAAATAATGAAATTGGTATGGCTATTACAAGAAACGGTATGTACGAATTGTATACTAAACATAAACAGGTTGCTAGAATGATGTAATAAAAAAAATAAAAATGTTTTTTCAACATTTAATCAAGAAAACAAAACAGCAACCGTAAATAATCTCCCGACCAAAGCATTAATATTTATGTACTGCTATCCGTTTCTGAGATTCAACTTTCACATTATCGCCACCGAGCAATTTAGGATTTTTGTACAAAATTCCTGCCACTGGAATAACAATTTCAAGGTTAATGCAGCACGAGCGGGCGGGGATTTTTCAAGATTTAAAGATGTGCCAAGGAAGGTCAATACGGTCAAAATATCAGCTTATGTATCATGTTCCCTTTTGTTTGTTATCATTCATCCCAGCGTTAATATGTTCTCTACACAATGATAATTTAAAAGGGTTGCAGATTTTCCATTTAGTTAATAATACTATTAAACAAAAATATGTATGAAAAAGTCACGTATTTGTTTTAGACTGTTTTGCCAGTAACGACAGTAACGCCAGTAATGGACCTTGTACAATTGGAACAGAACAACTGTCAGAATCTGGCTGTATTAGATACAGATGTGAAAACAGAACAGATGGAATCACATTTTATGTTATACAAGCAGGTAAAATTTTGTCTTTTCTACTTACACACTATTCCGAAACAAAAAACACCAAGTGAAATTTATTTCGACTATCGACTGAAATGTAAAGAAAATGTCTGCTTTCTGCAGAATGGCCCATGGATTGATGGATTGACTCACTCAACAAAACGCAATAGCCTTTGCTGAAATACCATCTACAATAATGACTATGCCGTGAAGAGACTGAATAACCCTTGGTGAGACTGGATAAGAATCTCCTCCAAAGTTATTGAATACAATCTGATGAGGCTGAGAACAATCTACTCTCCATATTATAGGCCTACACAACCAAGTCATCATATCTTTGTAAATACTGAACGGAACTGAACTCTTGTATTGTTGGACTGATATTCTTTTCAGAGATTTAACGTTCACAATATTATGGTTTACAAGGTATTAACAGTCGCCGAAAGAACGAACAGCAAATTTAACACAGTTTTGTATTGTATTTTGTAGACTGTTCGCTTAATGGACAATGTGTTCCTGTAAATGGAACGATTACCCAGAAATGTACAACGTATCAATGCGAAAAGAATGGAAATACTCTTAACATGAACGCCATCCATGTTCGTAAGTATAATTTTACACGTATAATTTTGGACCGATATTCTTTATAGTGAATACACTTTCACAGTGGAATTAACAGTTCCTCAAATGAGGATGGGAGACTTGAACTGAACTTTGTATTGTATATTGTAGAATGTGAGTTTAATGGAGGGTGTGTTGCTGTGAATGAAACCAGTACACAGAGCTGTATAACGCGTCAATGTCAACTGAATGGAAATGCTATTGGCATGAAAATTACCCAAGTTCGTAAGTATTATTATACATATACACACGAAAATTCCCTTAGTATTTGCATTTCAAAATGGCGGAATCACTGTTTTCCAGGTAAATTGTTTCATCTAAACTTTCATATATTTATTTTTTTTGTTTCAGAATGTAAAGATTCTAACGATAACTGCCATAATCTAGGACATCAAATTAAACAAAGCTGTTTTGAATATACATGTGAAAGTCGAGCTACAAGTATTGGCTATTATCTCACCAAAGAAGGTAATGTGTTAAAATTATCTTATCTTTCTTAATTATTTTCCGATTTTTTTCGTTTTTTAAATGTAATATATATTGACATGGACATAACCCTTTGCAGAACACAGACTAATTCATAAATTAACAATAATGATTGATTGATTGATTGATTATCTTTATTTCCTCAATAATGAGATTACATAAGAGTGAAAATATAAAGTAAAGTGAGAAAGATTGTTAAATATATAGAACATCAGTCTATTTACACTTCAGTTAAACAGTTCGTCACGTGAGTCCACATTTTACTTAAACCTTCACTAACTAGACACACAAATCTTGTCCATTCCGCAGCTGACATCTGATCAGGGCGCATAAGATCTGTTCGGGATCCTAGTAGGGTTACTATTAAAATATCTTCATTTCATTTAAGATGTTAGTTGGAAGTTATTTAGACATCGTTATTTGCGTCTATATTATTTGTGTATAAATTGTAAAGATGCAATAGAAATGCCTTTTTTGTAGTTCCTGTTGGGTAACATTATTAACTAATGCTTTTTGAAATCAAGATCCAGAAGTCAAGATGATTCATGTAGATGAAAGCTGTTTACGCAACAAATACATGTACGAGATAAAGTTCACTTTTGGAACTCATAGCATGTGTAGCCTATACAAAGCAGTAAAAAAGTCTTATTTATACACTTTGTCGATTGTCGTTTTAAAAAATGAGATAACACGCTACACCCAACGAACTTTTTACTTTTTGGAATAGTTGTCATAACCAACTATCTAGAATACTTGATAATTTCGCGGTTACTCTAGCTAGAATATTTGGTATTTTTACCATTGAGAGTTTTCCCTTGTTAGGTGTGGCACCGGTGGAGCTGGCAAGGTAATCAAGCTTAGTCGATTGGATGGCAGAAAAAACGTTGTTACCCGTGTACATATTAGCTTGCGGGGAATGGAACCAACGAGTAGGAACCAATGACGAAGAGTGGGTGGAAAATTAAAATAGCAAATACCAATGTCTCAAAATGACAGAAATATTGTTACGTGCTTTTAATTCCTATATTCAATTACAATTGTTTTTCAAGGTTGTATGGATGGTACTGTATGCCGAGATTACGGTTACAGTCGCACCAATCCACCCGGTTCATGTTTCAAAGAAACATGTGAGAAACGAGATGTGGGTGTTGGATTTTTCAATCAGGATCCAGGTAAGTCAAATTACCATTTTATCACAGAACAATTTAATGTCACTCACTGAGCAATGATTTTGACCTCATCAAATGATGGAAAGCTTTTCAGTAAAGAGAAGTGTAATAGTACGTGGACTTCGCCAGGACAATGTGCCAACTCAGTATCCGGTATGTCTAAAGGAAATCATTGATAAGACGGCTATCAGCTTTATATAAAAAAAATCAAGCTGATAACGAAATGTACAATTCATTAGTAAAAATCAGTGTCCATGAACTGTAGCTGACTAAACACATCATCATATCCATCTTCCCCTACGAGCCACAGTGGCCCAGTGTGTATGGCGCTGGTTCACTAATCATAGAGTACGGATTTGATCACGGTGTTTGCCGAGAAGGAAGTTGGATGGCCGAATGGTTAGCACGTGCGCGCTGTATCATAAGATCTGTCATTGAGTCAATTGGTTTTCTCTGGGTCCTCCGTTTTTCTCCCACTACTAAAGACCCCTACGCGCAAGCGAATTATTGAAATAAAATTGAATCACGTGTTAGTAACGAAATGACCTAGTTTGTGTCAAGTGGTCATTAAAGCCCATCCCCCACCCCGCCCGCGTTTGCCGAGAAAGTTCCTCGAAATTGTTAGTCTGGTTTCCACTTTAATTGGTGCAGAACGGGGGTCTTGGCCATTTTCCCGTCTTCATTAGCCCAGTTCGGAGCAGAACAGTAGGACGTTAAACCCCATTTCATATCAGCGCTATCCGGGCAAAATATATCTCACATAATATTGTAACTGTATGAAGTATCCCCCGTTTTCATTAAAGGACAACGTTGGTGTACATGGTAATTGAATGTAATAATTACATGTTTTGAAGTAATGGCCATGTAATGTGTAATGGACGATTTCAAAAGTAATGAGTAATGGATATGTAATTAACTGCATTCCAAAAATGATTGCAAATGTCAATGTTTCCAACTTCAAATTTTAACAACAAAAAAGTAACTCATGTATATCTGACACAAAATCAATACATTAGAATTTAAAGAAAAATGATTTTAAAGAAAAATATTAATAAAACAATAACTTTTCATTGAATTGTATTTATTCGTTCAGTTAGATTAAAGATACATTATGGGAGATTAGGTAAAGAGCTGGCAGTTCTCACTATAATAGTTGAAAACTAGATAATGTAAAGGGAATTTGCAGACAATTTCAGTCATGATCGAGGCTAGGCCGAAAATTCAATCGCTAAAAATCTCGGTTCAGAGTAGATCAATTTGACTGAAATTTTCAGCACATTCCCTTTACATTATCTAGTTTTTAACTACTATAGTGAGAACTGCCAGCTCTTTATCTAATATCCCATAATGTATCTTTAATGGTGATATAATTAATAACATCAGAAATGTAATGACCCCAGCTCCGGTACGTGTCATCGCGTTCTGCTTCATTCTCCTTTACTTGACCTAGTTTGTGTCAAGTAAACGTTAAACCTCATTTCTCTCTCTCTCTTTCATTAAATCTTTGTTATGCGTGGACCGTAGCAAAGGTCTTTGTATTAAAATTGTATTTGGAATGTGTTTAACCAGTTCTATCACATATGTAATATTGGTGGACACCAAAATTGTCCTTTTAACCGGTTTCATTTTATTTCAACCCTTCACTAGTAGACAATACACATTATAATATTTGACCAATGCCGCGCTTTATTCGTACTGTATAACTGACCCGGTCAAATAAAGCTTTATATACCCGTGTCTGTTTTTGCATATTCAGAATGTAAAGATTCAGACGGTAGTAGTAAATCATTAAGTCGACACCACACATTATATGCGATGAGTGTCAGCTTCATTTTGTTTGCACATGAACAGTATATTTCATCCCTCAAAGACAAAGTTATAAACATGTTTCTGTTATTCAGAATGTAAAGATTCAGACGGCACTTGTAAACCGTTGAATGCCACAAGAACACTTGCTAATGGTTGTATTGTACAAACATGTATTACTAGTAACCGTGGAACTGGTTTCCAGACAACTACGGAAGGTAAGTAAAGATTTTAACTGTAGGTGATGTATGACCTATTTCCAGATGGTGTTGACAGGCACATGGATATTGTCATTGTAAGCATTGTAAAGTAAAAATAAAAATCTGGTATCGAAATGTGTTTGATTTTTTCTGCACAAAATTACTCTAATTAAATTTATTCGTAATATTAAATACACGAATTGAAATTGTTGATTTGTTTAAGACATTATTTTATTGGAAGGGGTCATAAATATTGTATTTATGAATTACGATTAACTCCTAAATACGTTTGAATCATTGATTGGTGCAACCAGGACCGTAACTAGCGCAGAGCAGCAAGGGGGCGGGAAGTGTTCTCAGGGGTGCTGTAAAATTGACGGACAATGTATATCTATTATTTTTTAAGGTCAACAATATTCTCACAGGGGGAGGTGGGGGGGGGGGCGGAGTGGCGAAACTTTTGCCCCCCCCCCCTTCAGTTACGGGCCTGGGTGCAACATTGTAAAGAATGATAATTAGTTAACTAAACTGACCCCTGACCCTGTTCAAATAATGTTGCCCTAGCCCTAACCTTAACTCATTCGCCCCAAATAATGTGGTTGCGATTAACCTGTTCCTATTTTATTTATTAACACAAGAAAATACATCTTTAATGAGTATACTCCATCACTGTCGAGTCTGTTATTTAATTTAGATGCTATGGGCATATGTTTCGATGTCTGGCAACTTATCTTATTTCCATTATTTAAGTGGTTTCTGTAATTTAATTTAGGTTGTGACAATGGTGGAGTCTGTGTTAGTCTCAATGAATATGCGCCTGTGTCTGACTGTACAACAAAACAATGCCAGAAACAATCAAATGGTGCCATTGGTCTTGTCGTAACAGAGTTGAGTAAGTAATTATATCACTCCTAAATTACAAGTTACACATATTAAAGTAGTTTGTTCATTATCCTTATCAACAGTTTCAACTCTGTGTACCCCGAGCGAATACTCAATCGTTTCGACTTTAAATTTAACGCGTCATAAATAAGTAAACAAACATTTATGTAACTAATCTTCATTATCTGACCGACATGAACATGCTGCTGGTTTGTTTATTTACAGCGGCTGCCAGTTCCTCTCGCGTTAAATAAGGTGTGCTAATTAAAGGTGAAACCGGTTAGACTTCAGTTTGTGCTTAACTGAAACTATTCTAATACTAGATTAATAAAATGGAAAACAGCGTAACAGCCGAATATCGCCTTTAAAACTAGCATTAGTCGAAGAAAGGAAATGATGGAAACATTGTGCAATTAATGAATTGGAATACTGTACAGTACACGTTAAATGGGTTCCATTACATCATCAAATAACCGCAGAGGGCGGAGTGTTACATGATTTATATATATATATTGATTGGCAGAGAATATTCGATTTCTGGGTGGAAAGGCGGCTTACGAGCAAGGCGGGGGACATATTGACCATTTGTTTATGAAAACTAATGTGAGTTACTCCAAAGTCCAGCAAGAAATGATTTGACATTCTTATTCAAATCTCGTACTACGTCGTATGTTAACACCATTTGAGCGATGTATCTACATTTCCGGGCGCAGTTGTCCAACTTCGATCTTTAACCACATGTGAAATGTTAATGATATATAGGTACCATTCGTTTTGAATAATTCCACTTTAAATTGTGTACTCGGTTTTACTTGGCTAACCGCTATAAACCCATTTTAATTACAGAGTGTATGGATAATGGTGGAAATTGCCATACACCAGGTGGAGCTACTTTCTCGTTAACGTTTGATGATGGAACAGTTAGTGACAACTGCTCTTGTACAGCAAATGTTGCAAACATTACCAGAAATATACTTGTGTATAATGAAATGAAATAAAAGAATTTAAGTTCTACATTGTCTTTGTAACGATAAAAACAACTTGGGGATTACAACTGAAATTGAGGCGTTCTATCAGTCTGAAGGTCTTTATTCCAAATATTGTAATGATCAAATGATTTGAAATGCAATCTATTGTACTGTATTGGAAATCGATACGCAATTTGATTTGTAAAGGTGATGGCGCGCATAGTAATTATCATATTCCTGAAGCAATGGCCCGAGAAATCCCTCTCAGGCCATTGCTGGGTTGCCTTCTGATACTTGAGCTTTTGTGGGAGTTTGTCTATTCTTCCCGTTTAATCTAATCCATCCCAAGTACAGCAACATGACAGCCCTTCATTTAATCTGGGTCTTCCCTAAAACTTTGGACAGTGATTTTAAGGTATTAAAAACGGTGAAAGTATGTTCGTCTCCAAACAGTATTTAATAGTATTGTTTACATTGTTTTCAATTTGATAGCCGCGTTTGTCACGTAATTAGTTTTAAGCGTAATGCTTTTGTAACGCAGTTAGCTATTGGTTGTTAATCGGACCATTGACCAGTCATAATTTGGAACAGAAATTTGCATTCGTTAAAGCAGTGTTTAGTGGGATTATAATTAGGTATACTCAAACCAAACACTGTGAGGAGTATGAGTAATTACTAGTTTTCATATTATATTAGTAATATATTGAAATATTTGTGTTGAGGAACCCATGAGTATTGTCATTGAATCAAATCGAAATGTTATATCTTGAACAGGTTAAACATTTAATTATTATGAGCTTTTCTCATAATTAAACCTTTAATTTAATAAGTCGACATCGTTACCTTTAGTGTTCAATTAACCGGCAAATCGTTTGACTCTTGCTAATGCAATTGAAGTTGGTATGTTAAAAGGTAATGATATTGGAAACCATATTTAATACATTAGCATTGCCATCCACCCAAGCACTTGCTGTAATTGGGTCTGGACGATTGGGTGTCCGACTAGTCGAGTTTTGTAATGTGCATAACAATGTATCACCTTTTTCTGCCATTTGTACAGGGAGTAGGGTAGTCTGGGCGGGGATGGGTGAGTGTGGGTGTTGAATGGGGGACTCTGGGTTCGGTATACTATTGCAACTAATTGATAATGACGTTATGATGATTCCATATTAACCAACAAACAACGAAAGGAGACCATGTAAATCCTATGATTTATGATTTTACGACTATTAACAGGCGTAGCTGACTTTAATCCGTAAAATTAGTTCACAAACAACGTTCCAGTAAATTTTGGACAACCGCTTTCGCTTTATTTAATGGTCAGTTGTTTGTGGTGAACAAAAATCGAAATTAATAAGTAGGGTCGCTGCCAGCACCTTAAATGTTTGCTCTGGCGATTTTCTTTTGTAGCAAAATTACCAATCACCACGTGTGAAATTATTCTCTTGGTTGACAACGACCTGCAGTGCCAGGCGTTGTTGGGTGAGTCTGCCAGACAAGAAAGAAATAAATTTGCATTATAATTGCAATTATAATATTATCAAAATTTAGATGAAGGGAGCTATCAAGATGCAATAAAGAAAAGAATGTGTTCTTTCAAGATTTAATCGCATGTATGGTCGATCTCATTTTTTTCCTAACCTCGTGGGTTTTCTCCGGGTCCTCCGATTTCCTCCCACTGCTAAAGACCTCTATGCGCAAGCGAATTATTGAAATAAATTAAACCATATGTTAGTCCCGAAATGACCTAATTTGTGTCGAGTGGACGTTAAACCCCATTACTCTCTCTCTCTCTCTCTCTCTCTCTCTCTCTCTCACAACCCCCAAATCCGTGACCATTTCTCCGGGAACATGGTTTGACGATGTTATCTGCAGCTTGGCACTCAAAAAAAAAAGAATTGGAATTTCTGTTACATTAAATTTAAGCACACGGGCAATGAAAATGCGTCGACGTTACAGTATGTTGTGGTGTAAGCCAAAAGAGACCTAGGGGAAATAACTCTTATTTTAAGAACTTTCGTCTTTCGATGTAAGCTAAAGGAGAAACGGTTCTTATCTCAACTACTCTGCACTTTCCGTGATTACAATAATCGATTGGAATTGAATTTGTGTAAGGGGTGTGTACAATTCCACGCCTTGTACGTGTTTGACTCTATCTAGTCAGTGATAAATGCAACCCATTTCAGTTTCAATACATAGCGACAAATACTGCTTTAACAAATGGTTAAATTGTGCAGGTTATTCTTAAAATTCGACGAGAGACACCCTTGTTATTCTTAGCAAAACAATCGCAGCAAGTTCTTGAGAATGTGAAGAAATCTGACATGTAGAGAGACCGATTAAAAGAATCCTCTACAGGCAGACGGACATGGATGACGACAATACACTTGTACATGAAACTTAGGCTTATAATAAAAGACGACGTAGGACATGTGGGAATAACCTCACTCCTTTTAAAATACCCTTTTACACCCCCGTAAAATTATACAAAACGGTAAATAGGCTTTTTCAATACCTACGAACTTTACTGGGTGAGAAATTGCCATTATGCGTAGGTTGAACCTTTAAACTCACAGTCCACTCTAAAATAAATAGACACTTGGACATGAAACTTCGGCTTATAATAAAATGCGAAATAGGCCATGTAGGAATCACCCCAGTCCTTTTAAAATACCCCGTTACACCACCGTAAAATTACACAAAACGTTAAATAGGTCTTTTCAATACCTACGAACTATACTGGGTGAGAAATTGCCATTATGCGTAGGTTGAACCTTTAAACTCACAGTCCACTGTAAAATAAATATAAAATTGTGAGATATCAGCCATTTAGCCATCAAAGCTGATAAAACCTGTTACCACTTCTCATTTGCGTAATTCACATAGCCAACATATTTGTTTTTACGTTAAATTATCCATCACAAAATGTATTCAAATCCAGTAAATATCGCAGGCTAACGGTGGCATCGAGAGTTGATTATGGTCTGGATAAGTTAATTAATGTCCAATTAATAATTTAGATAACATTTCAGGCAATAGACAGATTTAGCTCTTGCATAATGCATGTTTTAAAACGAAACTGAACGAGAAACTTTTACTTTTGTCTTCGTTTCGTTAGGCGCTAACAATCTCAATGCTTTCCAATATTTTTGCCAACTGCCGACCTTTTGACGGCGTGATTTGTCACTGATATGTCCGGGAGAAGCTTTTTATCCGTTCAGTGTGGAAAATTAAAGATTAAAAATGACTTGTCACGTACTGTTAAGTTTTATGGGGCTATTAATGAGCTCGCTTCCAAATATACACGAACAGTTCCGTTTGGTCTAGGGTATTGAAAAAAATGAACGGTTTCAGTTTTTCCATTTGTTTGCCTGCTTAACTGTTCCTGTCAAAATCGTGCACATCTGATTATCATTATCATTAAGACTTAAACGTATATATTTGGTATGTCATATGTTGTGTTAAATCTACGCCAACCCACCCCCTCGCTGAGTTTCTTTTCCCAGGGCCCTGGCCATTCTGCTTAGATTATTACCATAGTACCTGCCTACATCTCTTAATATTCATATTCTGAATCATTCTGTTCGGCTACATTACTTCCTGCTTACAAAGTAATTATTTAAAAATAGAACCGATCTTACATTTGCGTCCTGCTTATATAGTAACCATATTCAAAGATAGTACAGTTTATACTTGAATACAAAGTAACCCTGTATATTGTTTTGGTGAATTATTTTTTATTACTTTATTTAGGAACAATAATAGTTGACTTTATCATCAGCTGTTACTGTGCAATTACATGTATCCCAGGTTATACCCTTTATCACCAGTGAAAAGATGTCGCCAGGATCATTGCAGTTTCCATCTTTATCTGCGCATTCTGAAACAAAAGAAATATAATATGACAGTCAGGCTTTAATCGGGTCTATTTAGATTAGGGTTGAATTTGTATAAGAAGTGTGTATAATGCAGAGTCTTGTACGCCTTTGAATATATTGCATATGAATTAGCCAGTGATAATGTAACCCATTTCAGTGTCAATAATAGCGACAAATACTGCTTTAACAAATGGTTAAATTATACAGGTTATCATAACAAAGTGGGGAAATAAGGTATATATTTGTGAGTTACTCTAAATTTTCATATGATTCCATAGCTGTGATAACCGCACAACGAATCTAACCCAAATTAAGGGGGGGGGGCGGACAGGCCTGACGACAATACACCTGGACATGAAAATTCGGCTTATAATAAAAGACACAATGAAAATAAGTCCAGTAGGAAGTAAAACGTTAAATAGGCCTTTTTAATACTCACGAATTTTACTGGATGCGAAATTGCCATCTTTACAGGAATATGTTACGCATGGATAGGCATCTAGAATAGTTGATGTGCCATTTTCGTAGGTTGAACCTTCAAACTCACAGTCCACTGTAAAATAATTAGACTAATTTTCACACCGGGGCCAGTACAAAATACCAGTTCAAAAGCCTATAGCACCTGATATACTACTTCCCCAAATCTAAAGTGGTTAGAATACTGGTTTGGCGCTAAAAATATCTGATGTTAATGGGGATTAAAGGATAATATTGGTGTCCGCCATTATCACATATGTGATAGAACTGGTTCAACACGTTCCAAATATATTTTTAACACATAAATCATTGCTACAATAGATACGTAACGAAGATGTGAAGAAATGGAAGTGACGAAAGCAAAAGGAAAACACGAGTTATCTTTCTATATAACTGGCTGAAGTAACGAGCGATAACAGATACACGGCCGAATTTCTGCTCACTGATAATTCCCGTTGAAGAGGAAAAGTTGTTAAATGATACTGTGAGAGGATATCAGACAATTTATAAAAAGAAATGACTGTGAAACTCAAACGGCAGTTCCGGAAAATTAGCTACGCTAGGTGCTACTTGCCGTTATTTGCCGAGATTTTACTACGGATATTTTGTGATTTTAATCTTGCGGCTATGACTGACGCTTCTACCATCAGCTGATTCGTTGTTTTGACCGGTGCGAAATTTGAATATGAACTGCATGCAATTCGCATTTTGCTCTTATCTGGTCCTATATTTTTTTCTCTCTTAAACAAAAATCCCTCCCTACAACCAGATTTAAAATTTTGTACATTTAATTCTGTTGATTCGGCGCTATCTTGTAAAGTTATGTAGGCTCATTTTTCGGTCGCTTTCTCCATTTTTTCGGGCAAAAGTGATACAGCCCCCCCCCCCCGAAAATCGGCCCGTACGCCTATGGTTAAACCCCATTTCATTTTATGGGTGGACCTCAATTTTTCGTTCCATCCAACCCCACGCTTTTTTCTGACCCCACCCTGGCACTAATGACAAGTAGAAACGAGAGTTAAAAATGCCAAGGAACTTTCTAGACTATCAGCGGATATCTAGTCGAAGACGGGCGTACACCATATTTTTTGCTATAAGAGAATATTTGCCCGGACAGCGACGCTACGACCTACTTTTATATCGAATTCTTACTGTCAAGGCTTCTGTTACGTGCATGCTAACGTGTACACAGGACCTCGGTTTTTCGACCCATCTTAACGACTTGACACTGTCTGTGCCAGACAAGGGGAAACTTTGTCGCAATATTGAAGTGCTCAACCCCAGATAAAAAGATGCGCCTCTCTGCCTTTTGTATAGGCACTGTGTACCCGCATATCGTGTAATTTGAAATGAATATTAATGATCGCGAAAGCACTAAACCAAATCATACTATGTAGGCCTGTTTCTATCTATACTAATATTTTTGTGGCTGTTGTTTGTTTGTCTGTCTGTCTGTCTGTCTGTTCAGGGTTGGCGGCTAGACTAGGGCTGTCCCGAGACTTCACTTTGGTGTACATCTCGGACCGGGTATAACAGGCCTGGTGTCATTATCATATCGCTTCCGGCTTCGGAGTTATACTACTTTCAACCCGTGCAATGCCAGTCATCCGCTAGTATGAAATAATACTTACATGCAAATACTGTGGTTGTTATAACCAGCATAAGAGCTACTACATTATTGCCAAGACGCCATTTCTTCAAACTTTATGAAGAAATTTTCGAGTGAGGGTTATTTATATTCTTACTTACTCTTTTCATCAAAACACAAATTATGTTGATAATTTACACGATATAATAGAATGCGGCAATTTAAAACGAATTAATTCAAGTAAAATATTTAATTTAATATATTGCATTGAGTTATGAAACTATTGATCATGTCATTTGTCAAATACTATATTCAATACTATAATATTAATATACCCTTTAAAACGTTTCATTTACGTGGCTGTCGGTTGCAGAGAGAAAAGGTGGGGCAAGAATAATATATTTTGTTATGCGGTTTTTTATGCTTTGAGTCAGTTTCACAGTCTCGATCAACTGCGCTGCAGACAACTATCATTAATAAAGTTCGATGTTGAAAATTGGTTTCAATTATTAAAAGTCCAATTGCGACATTTTAGCACAATAGAAAAATGATTTACAAAACATATGGCGAACTAATTAAACATTAAATTATTATGGGCTTTTCTCATAATTAAACCTTTAATTTAATAAGTGGGCAGCTTTACCTTTAGTGTTCAATTGATCGGCAACTGGCTGATGCAATTGAAGCTGACATATTAAAATGTAATGATATTAGAAAACGTATTTGCTACATTAGAAAATACATCAACCTAAGCACCAGCTGCAATTGAGACGGGGCGAGTGCACTGTATGTATCACATTTTTACATTGAGTTGGGTCACCTGTTCGGGTTAATGTGGGTGTGGGTAGGGCTAAAAATCCCCTGGCTCAAGGTTTAACATGGTTCCAATACACGGTACACTATTGCAACTAATTGATAATGATGTTATGATGATTCCATATAAACCACCCAACAACGAAAGGACACCATTGTTTTGTCCTAATTTATGATTTCATTATACTTTGAGAGCGCGAGCACAATTACAGTGTCGTTTTCAAATACGAGATTGTTTGTGGCAACGAAAAGAATAGTTGACTTTAATCCGTAAAATTATCCGCAAACAACATACCAGTAAATTTTGGACAATAGCTTTCGTTTTAGGTGCTCAGTTGTTTGAGGTGAACAAAAATCGAAATTAATAAGTGTTTGCTCTGGCGATTTTGTTTTGGAGCAAAATTACCAACGTAATGTACATCCACCATGGCAAACCAATCACTAATAATTCTGCAGAGCGATGTGCTATTGGATCAGTCTGCCGGACATTAGTTTTACATTATAATTTTAATTATAGTACTATCAAGATTTAGACGAAGGGCGACATCGTGAATGCAAAAAAGTAAAGACTATGCCCTTTAAAGATTTATTTGAATGTATAGTTGATATCAATTTTGTCCGAAATGGTGTAACGACAATTATCCCATGTTGTGCCGTCAATCACATGTGGAAATACATCACCGTGATTTTTGCAGCTTGACACTCTGAACAGAATTTGAATTTCTGTTACGTTAAATTTAAGCATACGAGCAATCAAAATGCGTCTACCAACGTCTTTGTAAGGGAGATTGCCGTCGTTACATTACGTTGTGGCCCACTTCCACCAAGGGTGGTATCATATCCCACTTCTTTTAAAATACCCTTTTATACCATCGTAAAATTACACAAAACGTTAAATAGGCCTTTTAAATACTAACGAACTTGACTGGGAGCGAAATCAGCATTAGTACAGGAATATGTTTAGCATGGATAGGCATGGATAAGCATCTACAGTAGTTCATCAGCCATCCGCGTAGGTTGAACCTTCAAACTGACAGTTCACTGTAAAATAAATGAACTTAGATCCATCACGGGAGCCCGTATAAAATTGTGAGATATCACCCATTCAGCCATCTAAGTCGATAACACCTGATATCATTTGTCAATTGTGGAATTCACATAGCCAAAATATTTTTGAAAGTAAATTTAGCTTTTTGCTTTCCCCAAATCTTAAGTGGTTTGAGTAGTATTGTAGCTGAAAATATCTGAACCAAACGGCGTTTAACAATCTACATTTCTGTACAAACCTATGGAAGACCAAATGGGACAATATTCGTGATTCTTGTTTCTACATTCCAGTTTGAACATTTTAGACACGAACGCAACATTCTAAACTAATGATTCTTGTTTCTACATTCTTATGTCAACATTTCATGCACAAAATCAACATTTTAAACCAAAAATTGACTTTATGTTTCATTTTCGGCGTTTTATCGGTAACTTTTATATATCATTAAATATTAAAATTAAAAAATAATTTCTTAATTTTACACAACAAAGAAATCAATTCATTGGTTTCTGAAAGTATCTAAAAAAAATCTGGAATTTAAACTCTTATGAAAATATTTTCTACGTTTCAAAAAGTCTTGAAGTTAAAATCTTGAAATGAAAATGTCCTGAAAAATATAATGAATTATCAACATTATTACACCAGAGGGCGTTAGCGTATGTGTACAACTTTGATACAGACTATAGATTAGAAATCAAAAGTAGACTTTTCCACGAGTGGAAGTGGGCCCCTGTTGTATTTACAGTAATTAGTTGCATGAAACAGAAATTAAGCTCGAGATATAATAGCAATACAAATAACTTCTATAATTTAAACAGCTAGAAAAATTACGACAAAGGCCTTCCTTACATATTCGCTGTTATTTGTTTATTATCATCCATTTTTGCCACATTCGAAATACGCGTAGGTCTAATTTGCAAACACTATCCTAAAGTTGTAGTTAATATGAAAAAGGAAACAAATAACAGTGAATAGATTCCATTTAAAACACAGCATTATCATCCATTTTTGCCATATTCGAAACACGTGTAGGTCTAATTTGTAATTGTAAACATATGAAAAAGTAAACAAATAACAGCGAATATGTAAGAAAGGCCTTTGTCCTAATTTTTCTAGCTGTTTAAATTATAGAAGTTATTTGTACACATACGCTAACGCCCTCTGGTGTAATAATGTTGACAATTCATTATATTTTTCTGGACATTTTCATTTCAAGATTTTAACTTCAAGACTTTTTGAAACGTACAAAATATTTTCATAAGAGTTCAAATTCCAGATTTTTTTTTAGATACTTTCAGAAACCAATGAATTGATTTCTTTGTCGTGTAAAATTAAGAAATTATTTTTTAATTGTAATATTTAATGATATATAAAAGTTACCTATAAAACGCCGAAAATGAAACATAAAGTCAATATTTTGTTTAAAATGTTGATTTTGTGCATGAAATGTTGACATAAGAATGTAGAAACAAGAATCATTAGTTTAGAATGTTGCGTTCATGTCTAAAATATTCAAACTGGAATGTTGAAACAAGAATCATGAATATTGTCCCATTTGGTCTTCCATACAAACCAGGATAATGAAGAGGAGCATACTTGCCTCATACGAATGTTGATAAACATTCAATTCTTTTCGATTATCCGTGTTTTGTTAGGAATATTTATTATTGCGGTCATTTTTAAATTTAATTGATCTTGCAAAAGTTGTTCAAAGTTAAACACAAATACATTTTACAAATCTGATGACATGTCTGAGTTGTAGGACAAATATTGATTTTAAGATACAAATGTTAAGTTTAGTGTACAAATGTCGAAATACGACAACAAATGAAGAAATATGAATTATGGACTAAGAACACTGAATAAAGAGCTGTTTGGTCTTCCATAGCATACCAATTAGTCGTTCACAGTCCACGGAGGCGGGACCGTCGGGAGAAAATTTAACTATTCCAAACTCGTTGTCCTACTATCCCAACCCGTGACTACAGCATCTTCAATGTGATCCAATATAGCTTACCTTAGGTGGCTGGCCTGAATCCCCAACAACCAATCAAACGTTTCGGGGTACGGAGCCCCCCCCCCCCCCGCAAATAGGTTTTTCTGCAATTCTGACCCGTGAGTTTAAGCAAATTTAAAGTAACTGTTGTCCAATCGTTTTGCAACCGAAACTCCACTCAATGGAGACCCGAACTCCAATCATTCAATCAGACTGTTGCATCTGCCTTGACAAATAATAACCGATGCCCGAAAAATGTCGCACAAAGTAGATTGGCCCAAACAAAATGTTTTAATCCATAATCAATTCAGTACAAATTCGTGGTATTCAATTAAAAGAAAAGTAAAATTTGTGTTTTATTACATTTCGGGGACTTTTGCCAAAAGTTCTCCCTATGTGGGAGTATTGTAATATAGTTTACTACTTAAAAGACGCCCTGGACATGTTAGATGTACCAAAGGTGCCTCATATCCCGACCATGCTTAGTTTTGTCTATAGACCTGTGTGTTATTAGGTTCTTGCATGGAAACGTTGGCACACATATCAGATCTTATGAGGCTTACCAGGTTCTTGCATGGAATATGGGGGATCACGGTGGCTAAGTGGGTAAGGCGCTGGCTCGCTAGCCTGGAGGTCGGGTGTTCGATCCCTGCATTGGCCGAGAAAGTTCATCCCGATTTTCCGGCGTGATTCCCCCTTGTCAGTGATGCAGGACGGAGGGCCTGACAAGGACAGCTGTCTAGTCATTCGGATAAGACGAAAAACCGAGGTCCCGTGTACACATTGGCGTGCACGTAAAAGATCCCTTGACAGTTGGAATTCGATATAAGAGTAGGCCATAGTGCCGCTGTCCGGGCAAAATTTCCCTCATAGCACACTGTATGGCGTATGCCCGTCTTCATTAGCCCAGTTAGGAGCAAAACAGTAGGACGTTAAACCCCATTTCATTTCATTTTCATTTCATTTCTGCATGGAATATGCTTATTTTTATATCAGGTTAAAACTATTATAGACTTGGGTATTTTGTCAAATATATTCACAGTGTCTTCATGATTATAGTCAAGATGGATGCTGTCCATCTACCTTTAGTGGCACCCTTTTCTCAATTTTGGACAAAATGTGGGTTATCAGGTTCTTGCATGGTGCCACAGAATTGTATTATTAGTTCTGTCAAGATTTAGATGAATGTAGGCATCGAGAGGCAATAAACAAAAGAATATGCTCTTTAATGATTTATTTACATTGATAGTCGATCTCATTTTGGTCCGAAATGGTGCAACCACAATTATCCCATGTTTTACCCTTAATCACATATGGAAATACATCACCGGGATTTTTGCAGCTGTTATCTGCAGCTTGGCACTCTGAAAAGAATTTGAATTTCTGTTATGTTAAATTTAATCATATAACGGGCAATGAAAATGCGTCCATCAACATCTTTGTAAAGGGAAGTACCGACGTAACGGTATGTTGAGGTGTAAGCCAAAAGAGACCTAGCTCTTATCTCAGAAATTCTGTAAGCCAAAGGGGAAATAACTCTTATTTTAAAACCTTTGTTCCGTCGATGTAAGCTAAAGGAGAAACAGTTCTTATCTAAAAAAACAAACTCTGCCTTTTCCATGATAAGAAAGTTTCAATAATAGCGACAAATACTACGTTATAAAATGGTTAAATTGTACAGGTTATTGATAACAAAGTGGGAAAATAAGTGTAATATTTGCGAGTTACTCTAAATTTTCATATGGTTCCACACCTGTGATAACCGAACAACGCATTAAATTTTCTAATAAAAGACGAAACAAATATAAATAAAGTCTTGCAAACCATGACTTTAAAAGTGTGTTTAAAAAGGTTTAGGTCCAGTGACAAATCCTCAACTTAAAATCGGCGAATTGATAATAAGTCCATTGTTGGAATCATCCCATTCCTGTTAAAATACCTTCTATACTATCGTAAAATTATGTACAAAACTTTAAATAGGCCTTTTTCATACTTACGAACTTTACTGGGTGCGAATGCGCCATTATTACAGGAATATGTTACGCATGGGCCAGAGTCATCAATAGTAGTTGATGAGCCATCTGCGTAGGTTGAACCTCCAAACTCACAGTCCACTGTAAAATAAATGGACTTAGATCCAACCCAAGAGCCAGTATAAAATTATTTTTATCCTGGGGTCAGTACAGAATTGTGAGATGCCACTTCTCATTTGTGCAATTCACATAGCCAAAATATTTGGGTTGTATTTTTATACAAATTAAAGTCATTTCGTTAAAAAGTAAATTTTAGCTTTTGACTTTCCCCAAATCTAAAGTGGTTAGAGTATAGGTTTTGTCGCTGAAAATATTTAAACAAAATGTTGTTTAATATCCTACATTTCTGTTCAAACTAGTATAATGAAGACGAGCATATAAAGACATTAAGTCTAGTTTTCATAGAATAACAATTGTCCAGTGTTCTTTTACGTCATCATTAGCCCAGGCGATGCAGAACAGAAGGACGCTAAAGCCCATTTCATTTTACGGGTGGGCTTCGATTTTTCGTTTTCGTCCCATCCCACCCCACTTATGTACTGAGAAACCAATGTAACAAAAATGCCAATGATTTTCTCGACTACCAGCATGTGCTGTACTCATTGAGTCAACGTAGTCTATCTTTGGAACCGCGGTAATAGAACAGCTGCGTCATTTGCCTCTCTCCTAGAATAACAAAAACAGGTTCAAATCTCGCGGCAAAGCGGCTTAGAATTCGCCTGTTGTGCAAAATTATGTGAAAGGCACAAATCAACCATAATGTTGGTCTCATAATGTTTGAAGTATTTTAATGACGCCATTTCGTGCGGCGCTGCGACTTACTCTTATGTCAAATTCTAACTGTCAGCACTATTTTTACCTGCATGCCAAGGTGTACACAAGACCTCGCTGGTTTGTCCCATTTTAACGACTAGACATTGTAAGTGCCAGTCCCCTGTCCTGTAGGACTGCCAAGGGGAAACTTTGTCAGAATATTGAAGTACTTAACCCCACATATCGTGTAATTTGAAACGAATATTAATGATTACGAAAACATTAAACTGAATCATATTTATATACATGTATATATGAAATAATACTTACATGCAAATACTGTGGTTGTTATAACCAGCATAAGAGCTACTACATATTGCCAAGATGCCATCTTTTCAAACTTCAACTACTCTGTGAAGAAATTTTCGAGTGAGGGTTATTTATATTCTTGTTACTCTTTTCATCAAAGCACAAATTATGTTGATAATTTACACGATATAATAGACTGCTGCAATTTAAAACGCATTAACTCAAGTAAAATATTTAATTTTATTGTATTGAGTTATGAAACTATTGATCATGTAATTTGTGAAATACTATTTCCAGTACTATGATATAGCCCATATAAACGTTTTATTTACGTGGCAGTTGTTTGCAGAGGGGGGGGGGGGCAAAATAAACTATTCTTTTATTCGGTTTTTCATGTTTTGAATTTCACCGCAACGATCAACTTCGCTGATGTAACAACTTTAACAGATTTCAATTTTTAAAATTAGTCTTAATCGTTTAAAGTCTCGTTGGGGCTCAAACTGTCGAGATCTGTCGGTTATAAACATACATTGTCAGTTTCATCAAAATCATATAAAAATTGTGAACTCTAGAGTGTCCACAACCTTGGTATTATTATGCATATATTTGTCAAGTTTAGCATCGCAGGAAACCATTATCGACTTTGCTTGCATGGTAAGGGATATAGAAAAGATATCCAATTTCACTTCATTGCTGAGTAATTTCATTAGCCAGAAAGCGTCCCTGGCGATCTAGATCCCCAGGAGCTTCTGGGGCCTAGGCGACCCCTGGACCCTCGCCTAAAGTTCTAGGATGGCAGCCTAATTAACTCAAAACAACATTACAAACTCCACAATTCACGATCGCCTCTTTGGAATGGCTGGAAGTAGTGAATAGGAAGTGTTTGTCTATATGATACACACCCGATGCTCCATGTCTTTGGTGTTTAAAACTACTTCCCAGTCAATTTCTCTCAAAATAACAATACGTCTCAATCTGAGTGCGCAAGTCCGATAGATAACTCAAAATATTGAGACGCATTGCACATGTTTTCTGAGATCTGAGAGTCATACTGTGGAATACATTATTACATTATTATTACGTGTATATATATCAGCTTAATTGGAAATGATATATTCGTGTTTCCCGTCCCCACAACCCCTGAAACGACATGATTAGTTTTGCAGAATACTTTACGAGCCAATTCCTGTCGCCATTTTGGATTTGGGTTCGGCGGCCATATTGGATCAACTGTTTGTGAAATGAATCGGAACCTGTCCCAAATAAGTAGGGTGTTCGACAAAAACCTATAAAATTATATTATTACACTGGTCATTTTGCCAACAATGTTTATCAATTCTGTAAATGACATCTAGAAGCACGGTTAACTATTCATAACAAAACAAATCACAAGGTATAATTATGTGGATATAACTAAACACAAGGTATATATGGATATAACTACAGAAGTAGTTATATCCATATATACCTTGTGTTGTGTTTTGTTATGAATTTTTATCAAGTCCAATTTCAGACCATTTATGGCCACCATCTTTGCTCTCCTGGAGTTAGCCGGTAGATTTCAGAGGTAGAAAACTAGAAATATTTTCACTAGGGTCGCTTCTATCAGAAACCATCGTCAAACCATGGTCCCGGAGAAATGGTCACGGATTTGGGGGTTGTGAGAGAGAGAGAGAGAGAGAGAGAGAGAGAGAGAGAGAGAGAGGGTTTAACGTCCACTCGACACAAACTAGGTCATTTCGGGACTAACATATGGTTTAATTTAAGCAGTGGGAGGAAACCGGGGGACCCGGAGAAAACCCACGAGGTTGGACAGGCGACCCTACTCCTTGCCACGTACAACCGGGGATTCGAAATCACGCCATTTGACTCAATGACAGACTTTATGGTACAGCGCGTACGTGCTAACCATTCAGCCACTCGACCCCCTTGGGGGTTGTGACCCGGCCATACATTTGGTTACTGATATAATATGATCATATCATAAACATTTATATTCAAAGATAGTACAGTTTATAATTGACATAGAATACAAATAAACCCTTCCATTGTTTTGGTGAACTACTTGTTTATTACTTTTTTTAAGAACAAGAATAATTGACTTTATTATCAGCTGTTACTGTGCAATTACATGTATCATAAGTTTTATCTTTTATCACCAGTGAAAAGGTGTCGCCGGGATCCTTGCAGTTTCCATCTTTATCTGCGCATTCTGAAACAAAACAAATATGATATGACTGTCAAGCTAGAATTGGGATTATTTAGTTTGGATTTGAATCTGAATAAGGAGTTGTACTATTCAACCCCTTTTAAGAAGGTCAGTTGACAGTTAATAGCCTAATACTAAAATTATTAGGTTTCCGTAATAATTGCATGTACATGTTAGAGGACAAAATGGTAAACAGCTGAATTTAGTCCTACATTAAATGGACATACAACTGTTTCTGTTCAAATATTAACCCCAAACGCTCTAAAAGAAATGAATCGCTTATGTTTATGCCAGAGGGTTTAGTGAGGCCACGGAAAAAACTCACCTTCTATATGAAATATAGACCCGCGTAATTATGCTCTTCTAAAGCGGGAGTAAAAATAAACATATTATTTTATATTTGTTTTACTGAAGATTGTGGTTAATGCACCCTATGAACAGTGATTCAGTTTTCGATTTCAATATCGTTGCAAAGTTGCTTAAAGAGACAACCATGTTGTTTGCGTGCATGAAAGTACTTACGAACTTTGCTGGGTGCGAATGCTCCGTTCTTACAAGTATATTCTACACATGGTCCAGATGCTGCTATAGTAGACGATTCGCCATCTTTAAAGGTGGTGCCATTGAACTCACAGTCCACTGTAAATAGAGTTACACAATTCAGTTTTCCTGACAGCTTGTTGTACAAATCCTGCCTATACATATTGTTTCATTTGTTTATCACTAACAGATACATTGCAGACAGTCCCAGATTTTACATGACCCTGAATACCAATAAGTACTTTAAAATGAAAGCCCAAACCTCTGACTTCAGTTACAAGGGTTAAATTACCCGGGCAATAACTCCCCATGTCATTGATGTGTCACTTAGTTCAATGAATGAAATCCCTTTTTCTAGTCGAACAATCAAGACTGGGATTCTTTCGACAGGGTTCATACTTGTGAATTGAAGACACCTAGTAACTCTTAAAAGAGAATGAATCTGAAAAACGTTGACCTACACCCCTTTTGGAACTTTTCATTGTCAGAGACAATGATTCTGTAAATAATTAAAGCGGACTCTCTGAATCTGAATATGGTTCCTCTGTTTGACAAACAAACAATTCTAGCAGGTGGTTAAATCCAAACAAAATAAGTAATTCGAAAAGAGTAATTTTTATTTCTCAAGACCACGCCCATTAACATGTGGTAATATAATAAAATTGTTCACAGAGATTCAGACAGACTGAATGAACTTTCATTGGCGTACTTTTTAACCAGTCGTATTTACTAAAACTAGAATAGTCGACTTTTAAAATAAATTTGAGAACTGTCAATTATTGTGATTGTTTTGGCTGAAATGCCATTTTGGCTCCTGCATGTGGTGAAATCTGGGAATACTGATTGGAGAAGCCCCCATTACAGATTGATTGTAAATTCTCACTTGGGTATATGTGAGGCCTTAATATTTATCAGGCATCTGTTTCAGTCATATTTGAAAAAAACATATTCTAATAATGTCTAAATAATCAAATACTCACATGCAAATACTGTGGATGCTATAACCAGCATAGCAGCTACTGTGAATTTCCAGAAAACCATTTTGGAATGATTTGCAGCTTCAGATACATCTACTGACTGACCTATCTTTGAGCCAGGGTTATTTATATTCTCAAGTAATCCTTTCGCCTAATGTTTCGTAAAAATTACACGGTACAAAGGAATACAGTAATTAAAAACGACATTAGCCTTATTTAAATTTGTCATTTTATTGTGGTAAGTTAAGAAACAATTGATTGTATACAATAATCTTAAAGCACACTGCCAGTCTTCATTAGCCCGGGTGGTTCAGATGTTAAACCTATTTAATTTTATGGCATTCTTTAAAGTGACATCTTTCATAAAGTAAAAGACCGTAGTCGTTCCCCTGTATATACAGATAAAAATATCGCAGATCTTTTTTTTTCATTTGAATAATGTTGACATGCCGGCAGATCATTTATAAATTAAATTCGTCAATTCCTACTCAGATTGTGGCTATATTGACTGTAAAACGCCATCTCTACTCAGATTATAGCTTATTTGGCTGCATTTGCTACTCCATACTCGGATTTGGGTTATATGAGCCCCCAGTACTACTTATTACTGTTACTTCATTGGCGATTGTGGCTATATAGCTGCCAACTCCACTTCCGACTATTATTGTGGATGTACTTACTGGTGGTGTAGGACACATCCTAATCAGATTATGGTTGACACTTCCTAATCAGATGTGGTTATATTATCTTCCTACATTCCCCTTTAATTTATAAACTGGGATACTATTTAAGAGATGACCTTCAACGAAATGACGTGTTTATGGGATAGTGAGAGGCCACATTGTTCACGATTTTAAGCACAATTTGACCTGTGAAGTGTTCATATCTGTCACACTTCAAGAATAAAACGTCAAATGTTCTATGAAATAAAGACGGCAAAGTGACAATGAAGCCTTATCAAATGTGCAAATCAAGCTTACATGAACTTTGTGCACATTAAAACAGAGCACTAACTCTATGTAACCATTTTTCAATTTTCAATAGTGATTTTGTCACTTGATCAGATTGTTAATACAGTGTTTTCTCACCTCAGTTAACCTTACAACACTTGTCTTCTCAAGTTTTTTTTTAGATGAAACAAAATTACACTTAGTTTATTTACTTCAAAATACAATTGATACAATGACAACATATATATATATATATACATAGATTCGTAGACGAACGTGCCTTGTAATTTGGAGGTTGTACCAGCTTGAGGGGCACCACAGTTTTCACAATGTTCTATTTTATAACATACCGGATTGGACTAACATATGATCACAATGGTTAAAGAGCGTAACTTGACGTTGAAGAAGCATTGGCACAGAAGACCTACAACAGTTTTTTCTGTTTAACCCCAACACGTAAATTGCTTTCTGGTTTTCTTATAGGTGCCGTCTCATATATAGAAGGGTACGTTCCAATATTCTTGCAATGATATTATCTCTTGAACGGTAGGGCGAGATATAACTGATGACTAATAATGAATTCCGCAAAGCGCTTGCCATGAAAGATGAAACCATCATGCATGGAGAACAGGAAAAATCCAGAGAAATGGGTTTTAACGTCCACTCGACACAATCTAGGTCATATCGAGACTAACATATGGCCAACTTTTATTTCAATAATTTGCTTGCGGGTAGGGGATCTTTAGCAGTGGGAAGAAACCGGAGACCCGGAGAAAAAACACGATGTTGGACAGGCGACCCCACGCCAGTTGAGTCAATGACAGACCTTATGATACAATGCGCACGCGCTAACCAATTGGCCATCCAACCCGCTTACTGCTGGAGTACACAATGGTGTACACCAAATTTGATACGAAAATGCTGACGGTCGGGCACACGAAGTGACGGATAGCCATGAAAATCATGTAGGGGATTTTAGTACAAACAGGGGTAATAATCGAGGAGGTGACGTCCAATATGTGCCAACATCGAACCCACCCGATATAAACATTGCATGGTGTCACGGTGGCTAAGTGGTAAGACGGTGGCTCGCTAGCCTGGAGGTCGGGCGTTCGATCCCTGCATTGGCCCAGAAAGTTCATCCAGATTTTCCGGCGTGATTCCCCCTTGTCAGTGATGCAGGACGAAGGGCCTGACAAGGACAGCTGTCTAGTCATTCGGATGGGACGAAAAATCGCGGTCCCGTGTACACATCAACGTGCACGTAAAAGATCCCTTGACAGTTGAAATTCGATAAAAGAGTAGGCCGTAATGCCGCTGCCCAGGAAAAATTTCCCTCATAGCACACTGTATGGCGTATATGCCCGTCTTCATTATCCCAGTTTGGGGCAGAACAGCAGGACGATAAACTCTATTTCATTTCATTTTCATTTGTTGCACGTTTCATCAAAATCGGTGAACATTATGACGCATAGAGGGTCCACGGGCTATTTGGGTGATTTTTGTATAATCTGGGGCAATAATCCATGAGTGTTCACAAAAACCTTGAACGGATGTCTGGCGGACAGAGGCAGCGACGACATAATACCTCCAAATAAAATTGTGATCGATCGTATAAAAATGGCGTTTGGTATTGATGAATTAAAACGCTTACGTGTCTTTAAAATGCACTTACTTACACCTTATTCAATTCACTATTTAATTCTATTATTTGTCAGGTGAAGTAAATCAATGTACTTTTATAATATATTAACTCAGGTGATAACATTACAGGTTAATCATCGTAACAGGTGTTTTTATATTTACATGTCACAATGAACTACCTTTAACGACCGTTTTCAAGGTTTACAAATATAGATTAAACGACGAAAGAAACGCCACACTTTTAAAGAGATTTATAAATAAGATGAAACGTGGTTTAACGTTCCGCATTTCTGCATCATCCGTGCTGATAAAAACAGACATACGTGCATGGACGGACCTCGGTTTTATTTTATCCCATTCGAACTACTTTTCCTTTTCGAGACCAGGATGGAAAATCCCTGGATCCCCTGGTTAGTGAGACAACAGTATTCGGATATTATAGTAATTAGGCGATTCAACTTTACGACCGTTATGGAATGTATTTCTTCCCATAATTAAATTCCTCTGCTGTTTGTTGTTGGTATAAAAACCTCCGCCTAGACGTCATAGTTATACACCTATACCAATACTTTCATGATAACAATGAAACCAATCTATTGTGAGTGTCTAACCTTAGAACTATACCCATAGTCTTTGAACTATTTTTGACATTGTGCTCAACACCAACGGTAGAGTGTGCTGTGCCGGTGCACGAATGACAATTCCCATGTTTGACTCCCCGACAAACATTTGATTACCATTAAACTAAAACCTTTCAAGGTCACACATTGATGGGGCGTATCTTTAGTCGCTCAGGTTATTTAGTTAAATAAGTGACAACCGATAACACGGTTACATACAAAACCGCAGCAAATTTTTTATTAAAGTGAAGTGCCTCATTTTGACCTATTCTGTATAGCTACAAATTATGGGTACCGGGCGAATTGGACTAGGGACCCTTATTGCTGAAAGGTACCAAAGTATATAATGTTTGCTGCGGAGCAGATGGTATAAATATGAAATGGGGTTTAACGCCCTTCTTGTCTGCACCAAACTGGCCTTTGAAGACGAGCATGCGCCGTGCAGTGTGCCATTAGAGAAATTTGCCTGGCGTTTCGGTTCACTCTTCATGGAATTTCAACTTCCAAGAGTTCTGTTAAGTACATACCAAGATTACACAGGAACCCCGGCTTTTCATTTCATTCAATATTGTAAAGCCCGTCCTACACACACAGTGCGAAATCTACTTGAACAAAAATAAAAACAGACAATTTTATTTTAATTTGCTTTAATTGAAGTACATCTGTAAGATATCTGATTTCTTTCTTCTAAGATTTTACATTGACACGAATCGTACGTAGTATTTTTAATCTCAAGTGGAAATATCTCACCCGGATCGTGACAGTTACCATCTTTATCAGAACATTCTGAAACGAGATAATTTTATATCAATTTCGAAAACAACGACATTATTCAGTGACTCCTAATAATTATTTAATATACCATATTTAATTAACCGAAATAGAAATGGGTGGTAATTGTTGGAAATATGTGCTAACTGGCTGGGGTTACACAAAACAACTACCGAGGCCAACGTTTTGATGAGAAATTGAATAAGCTGAAAAGCTAGTACAGTTTAAAAAGATAACCTCTCGTAGAAAGGCGTATAGTGACTTTACATCGTAGAACATAACGCGGGCTGTATAATAGTCACGTAACCAGGAAATCGAAACCACGCCAGTTGACTCAATTACAGACCTTATGATACAGCGCGCACGTGCTAACCATTCGCCCCCCCCGCTGAGAGGGGATTATGTGTTTTTTGGCGGGGCGGGGGGATGCCTACTAAAAAAATTATCCGTCATTTCCTTGCATCTGTAGCCATTCCCAGAGCTATTTGGCTGATATTTTCGCCTAAGTAAACGTTCGGAAATCGTTGAAAAAGAGCCTTAAAATCGAGCAAAAAAGCCAGTTGAACATGCGACTCGAAAATTGTCAAGGCGAGCGAGGCATTATGATGGGAAAAAAGACGAATCTATTCCCTAGCCACTTCACTATTTAAGCCTTGTAACTTGTACTTTGTACTGTCCACACATGATACAATGCTACATCAAGTTGCACTCATGCGCGTCGGTGATGGACATGAGTGTATACGCTGCCGATTCCACAAGATGTCTGTCTATAGTCACTCTATAGGATTAGGGCATTAATTAGACCAAACTGGTGTGTTTGAATCGATGGTTTGAGTCATTTGGGATCCCTGCAACGGGTTGGGAACGGACATATTTGGGTCTGAGAAAAGGCACTTTCAGCAGTAAAAAAGGGCACTGTCGAAAATTAGCCCCCCACATCCCCCTTGAATCCGCCTCTGATTTTAATGTTCTAAAGAATACAGCTGTATGCCCTTTAACATATAACATAAATAGTTCTCGCGCGATCGAACAATACTGTTTTATACAGCGCGCTATATGAGAAATTATATCGATTTCAATTGCTAAAGATTTTGTTAGGTTGACGCCAAACTTTGGTTTCTTGTCACAACTAGACCTAATGTACTGGAATAAGCCAGACTGAAAAATCTTGAAGATCGAACCCTCACGCCCCTCGTTAATGAACCAGCTCTACAATCGCGGAGCCCGGCTCCCCTGATAGTGATTTCTTGGTTAATTTGAGGAGATAGTTTACTCTTACTAATATTTGACATCCAAATGTCAACTTATAAATGTTAATGTTTAAATATCGTTTAAAAGCAATTATCAAACCAACAGCGTGACTTGTGTCCCAGCCTTAACAACATAATGCAAAAAATAGGTACAGCATTGTGTGACCTTCAACTGGTCCGTGCCCAGATCTGCATACACTGCATATATGCCTTTTACCAACCGATGAAGATCTCCAGAGAGTTAATGCCCATTTTTATACGCGCACATTTTCATGTGGACGTATATTGTCGTCGCCGCTGCCCGTCCGTCTGTTTTAATTTTGTTTGTGGACACTCGACAGGTCACAATTTTTATCCGATTTTGATGAAAAAATGTATGTTTATAAACCAAACATCTCGGTTCTTTTCGACATTTGCGCATATCGGACCGTAACTTCCTGGATTATGGCCCATGATTGTACGAAAAATCGAGTTTTTAGCTTGTGGTCTCTCTGGAGTTCAGAATTTTATCCGATTTAAAAAATATATCACCGTTACTCGCTTATGATGGTTGGGTTCGAATTTCGCGAAAATCGGACTGAAACTATCAGACAAAATGGCTGCTCCTTCTACGCAAATTGTGTAAAAGTATGTAATACCAAGGTTGTGGACACTCTAGAGGTCGCAATTTTTATCCGATTTACATGCGGCTTAAAGTATATGTTTATATCCCAAAGATCTCGGTTCCTTTTGATAATCGCGCATATTGGACCGTAACTTCATGGATTATGGGCCCTGATTATACGAAAAATCACGTTTTTTGCTTGTGGACCCTCTAGAGGTTAAATTTTTATCTGATTTTAAAAACCGTTCAATTATATCACCGTTACACAATAAGCACGGTTGTGGGCATATCTTACAAGACAACCCGCGTGTTAAATTATAATGCTGAATTATGTACTTACGTGTTTTTATTCTTTTGAAACCTGCTTCAATTCGGTAAACACATTTATTGGTTATACATTTGTTGGTTATAATTGTGCCGATAGGATAACATTTTTCATCAGGTATATTGTAGCATTCTGCGAAAGAAAGAATTATTTGTTAAGTTTAGCGCGATTTTCCCCAAAACAAACTATGTTAAGCTCTGGGTTTGGTCTAAAACGATTAGGCAGAGAGACGCCACTTCTTTCGAGAACACCGCCCATCACCAATATGTATATAAATCCTATTCTGACATTTCCCTATTAAAAATACATTATAGAAGATTAGATAAAGAACTGACAGTTCTAAAAATTTCAAATTATTCCGAGAAATCTTTATTTTGAAAACACTGTAGTCGATTGTTACCTTTGTTGCGATAATAAACAATGTCTCGATTATCCATTTTACGGTTAATCATCAACAATCGTTGAACCGCAAATCGGATTCAAATCTGTGAAAAATCGGACCCATAGAGAGTTTATTATGGTCTTGTCATGTTAATTAATATCTAATTAATAGTTTATATAACATTAAGACCTAAAGAAAGATCTGCAATAGGCAATATTGGCCCTTGCATTATGCCTGTTTAACTGTATTAAAACTATATTTACCCACATTATCTGGTCTAATTGCTCCATTAAAACATTTATAAGTTATGCATCTACCGCCATCGGGTAGTTGAAATGTTGAACCATTAGCATATCTTTTACTGGTCTTATAGTAAATACAGTTTCCTGTAATAGACAATATTAAATAACAACCTGCACGTTTTTCAGCAATGGCCAGATAAACAATATTTAGATCAGGAACTTCTCACCAAGCGCAACTCCTTGGGTATAGTTGCGCTTTGATATGACGCAACACTACCTATGCTATGAAGTCATAATCAGTCTCTCGTCTGTAGTACAGTGGTAGTTGTTAAAATACAATCTTCTGCAACATAAATCTCAAACATTATATTGGTTGTTAAAATACAATCTTCTGCAACATAAATCTCAAACATTATATTGGTTTTAATAAATACAATCTTCCGTAATAAACATAATCTACTTATATAAAAAACCCAACACATTTCTAATAATACACATAACACGTAATGCTCGTTATCTAATAGTAATTACAAGCTATTTTTCCACAATATGTTAATAGTTAATAACAATATATTGATAATTGTATGACCATTAGTTTCCATTACTTGTCGGGGGTTGGATGGCCGAATGGTTAGCACATGGGCGCTGTATCATATTATATGGTCTGTCATTGAGTCAACTGGTGGGGTCTCGATTCCCCGGTTGTACGTGACAAGGAGTAGGATCGCCTGTCTAACCATTTTGGGTTTTCTCCGAGTAATCCGGTTTCCTCCCACTGCTAAAGACCCCTACGCACAAGTGAATTATTGAAATAAAATTGAAACATGTGTTAGTCCCGAAATGACCTAGTTTGTGTCAAGTGGACGTTAAATCATATTTCTGTCTCTCTCTCTCTCTCTATTACTTGTCAATATAAATTTTAAACAAAAATATTTTTTTTACTTACTTGCCGCTGCAACAGTTACTAAAATCAGGACAATGAAAACACTTAATTGTGAGGACCCCATGGTTGGTATTACTAAAGCTTTAAGATTGTTGATATATTTATTAGTAAATGGTTATAATTTAAAGAAGAATTCGGAATGTACACGGATTTAAACATAAATCATAACAAACTGTTGCCGTTTTTCAATATCCACTTTAACATAAATTAATATTGAATTAGATAACATATCAACATACATTAATATTAAATTGGACAAAATTAGCATTGCACAGGATAAAATTTTCTGTCGTACTTTATGGTTTATAATATGGAAGAAGGGTTAAGGGCATCTATGATTTTTGACTTCATTTTCGAACACTTCTCGGTACTATACCACAATTTCAACGAGCTAGAATACCATGCAATGTTTAAAGGAATAGGGACCGAACATTTAAAACGATGTTAACAAATTGCCTCCCTTGGCCTAGTGCGGCGTTTAACTTGATCTCATATTTGCAAATACACTACAACCGTTTACTTTAAAAGTAGGAAGTAATGAGTAAACTACTGGCCAAAAAGCAAGGCGATGATAGCGAAGATACGTCAAAATCTACTGCTTCACAGATTCAACCCAAGACATTGGTAACAAAAATTATCCGATCGGCTGCTGCAGATAATGTATGATGAGCCATAATTATTAGCTAGCTGATAGGATTGTAATAACGCATAACACCACAATTTTTATATGAAATACAAGTTTTTACAAAGTTATTTCCGTGGGGGAGGGGGGATCTGTGTTACAAACCCTATTTTAGTAACAACCCCTATTGTAATGAATGTAATAAAATTTCACTTAACCCATATGCTTTACATTTATTTAGATATCAATGATTAAAATAGTGGTTGACATTCCATTTTAATAATTTCTCCAAACTCGTTAACTGCTTTTAATCATGTTTTCGGTGGTGTTGTTTCATAATATTCTATGCAGTATAAAACACATACCAGCACTCCTATATCATACGAAATGGTGATCAAAATCTAATTACAATAGAGGGTAGTATTACAATGGGGGTTAAGAGAAATTGTATTACAATTATTACAGTAAGGGGTTGTTATTACAATAGGGGTTTGTAACAGTGCCGCACTGTCGCTCAGTTAGCCGTTGGCACGCTAAATTGTAGGTCTCGTGTTCGATCCCTGTTTTGACCAAGAAAAATCACCGGAACTGTCCGGCGTGGTTCCCTCATATCAGTGGTGCAGGACGTGGGGATTGGGCAAGGCAAGGGACAACGTATTCAGGTGGGACGAAAAACGAAAGTCAAATATTCACATTGGCGTGTACGTAAAAGAACCATTGGCAGTTAGATTCAATTCAATATACGAGTAGGCCACAGCGCCAATTTTTGGGTAAAAATTCTCTCATATCATACTGTATCATTCTTTGCATGTGTTATTCAAATTCAGTTACTTTGACAGGATTATGTTGGCAAAACATTTTGAATTATAATCGTTGGAAGGATAACACTTTAAAATGTTGTCATATATAGACGTTCGTGGAATTTCTCAAGATTTTTCGGGAGTAGGCGTTGACGGTAATTCATTATTTTGTATGCATGACATGGAAGAATTGTATTGTCAATCTTTAAAATTGTTACTCGTTACCACCAGATGCACTGAATAATTGTACTGTATTCTGAGATTCGCACACTGTTCAAATTTTAAATAACAGATTTTATATGGAAATGTTCTGTAGCAGATTGCTATGGGTTGATACATAGAACAGCTGAGGACAACTGGGTGGCTTTGATTATATTTATGTTAATGAAGCCAGAATTGATAAAAAAAAAACCTTTCAAATGGTGCATTTTCTGAAAGGTTGCGTTAAAATGAATATTATATATTCAAATAACAATTACAAATTAATAAAATTTCAAATCAATAGTTATAATGACTGTGTGGGTTATAAAGGGTTAGAGAATTTATGTTTATTTGTATTTATTAGCGCCCAATTAAGCAATAATATGGACAATACGGGGGAATTCCACTCATATAATTTTAGTAAAAGCAACCAGTATATTAAATAATACTAATTTATGGACTATTGATACATATATACATTCCATTGGTTTGTATAAATACAGTTGACTGGTCTAAATAGTTTGCTTTAGTGACATGGCATATGGCTTCGATCCCAAGATACGTGACAAAGTGTAGCATAATCCGAATAGCTGTCATTGCTAACGACCCCTACGCATATGCGAATTACTGAAATATTGAAATTATGTTAGTTTCTTGTAAACGAAAATACTATTTTTATGGTTGCGTTGAACATTTCAAAGCGACGTTCAATGTTCAGATCTATGCGATCATTTTACATATTATTACAACACGGATATTGATATATTTCTTTCTTGTAAATAACACGGCGTAAACATTAGTTTAAAAGTATGATTTTATGACGTGAATAGAAGGTTCGTGTTTTAACTGCCTTAAAAGGTGAAATTCGAATTACTGGTGTCTTAAATACGACGATTGGTCCAACCCATTTGTCAAGCCTGGCTCCGTTTTACGTATGTGCAACATTTCGGCTACAAATATTTCTAACACTGCACCTAGCCCTTACCGGGTAAACAGGGTCCTGTGCGAGTGACACAAAATCGTAAGTCAAGTCGATAGACCAATGCCGTTCCAGATGAAAGGTCTGTGGCCGAAACGTATGTCTACCTTCTTTCCTTACAAGCATTATGTATTACACACACCCTAACTTCTTTAAAACAATGCATGAGAGCAGGTCAATCCTGACATCAAACAACAACCTCCAAACGAAATTTGACAATGTTCAAGTCATTAAATCACAAAGACTTGTAATGGTTGTTACCATTTTTACATCGGAGAAACGGACACACATCTACCTTCGTTCCTTTCAAGCATAGTTCGGTGTATTACCCATAACCCCCACATCCCAACTTCTTTAAAACAATGAATAAGAGCAGCCCTTTCCTGACATCAAATATTCTGGAGGCTCATTGGGTTGGGGGGGGGGGGTCCATCAAATGGGCACAAATCCAGGTCCAACTTTTCTATAGTAAAATTTTGCGTATAGAATACGATGACGGGTGGTAATCCGACCGCCGTTGGGGCGTTTTCGAGATATTCGGGGTCAAAGGTCAAATAAGGTCATTTACACTGAAAGTGAAAACACAGCCATTCTTGTATCAAGTTCCAGAGGTAATTGTGGGACAGAACAGGCGACGCTTAGTTTCAAGTTTTAACAGGAAATAATCAATATATAACGATAGGTCAGAATAAGACAAATTGATATCTCATATTTCTGTAATATACACTTTGACTCTACACTTTGTCAGTATGGATGCATATTAGTCAGGGGTGGTAAAAATCAGCTTTGTTTTGTATGTTTTGTTGCCGGTCAACTCTTGATGGTCATTTATGTTACAGTCGGGGGTGTGTTTATTTTTTAAACTCAGCGTAACTTCCCATTTTATAGACAAATATCAGGAAATTTTAACGTTTTACAAATCAATATAATATTTGGTTATTCTGAAATATTTTTTTAGATGCAATATGCATTAGATTCTTTAGAAGGTTTTATCAATTTATTCAAAAAAGAAAAAAAATTATCGGTTTCTGTAAGAACTGGATAGTTTATGTTTTACTTGGTTACAGCACTGTAAGTGATATCAAAAATTCAACAATGGCTATGTCTTTATTTGGCAGTTTTATTAGACATAGATTTGGGGTCTAAAATTGTAACTTTTTATTGGTCATAAAAATCTAGTAGGGTATATATGCCTGAGACCGGTAATCAGCTGATTTCACAATACATGAATGTATTTCGTTCGTCTGTTCCTTTCTCCATATTTCGCTTTTTTAATCCTGAATAAAATAAGAGTGGTCTCACATTTTATCTTTTTATCACAAGGATATAAGGCAGTAGCATTATTAAGTACACCCAACATTCACGTTCAACATGTGCTTCGAAAAGTGTAAGCATACCCCGCATCGCGACCGACACCATCACTACTTAAGTAGCACATACATTGGTTTAATAAAGAATCAACATTTGAAATGATCTGCTTATTTCAAAATAAAAAAAACCCCCAAACATAATTTGTGATAACATACTTTCAGCACAAAATTTATTCAAATCAAAAGTTTCTTTTTGAAGATACGAAAACAGGATAAGTGATTAATTGGACAATTCTCCCAGCAATAATTAATAAAGAAATAGATAACTTTAATTTAGCATACATTAATATCGAGAAGCATAGTCGACACGTCGCTCAACAATAAACATCGCATTCCATATTAGAATTATACCCTGTGTATATATTGATAGAGATTTATCATTTATATCTGAGAATGTGATAGCGTACATATTATACAATTTATATTTTGTGGATAGTGTTATTGTGATGTACATATGCACTTTACTTGTTGTGGATAGTGTGCTGACGATACTTTACACGTAGAAGATATATTTATTATGATGTACATATACAATTTACTTATAGAGGATAGAATTATCACAATGTAAATGTTATTTCAATTTACTTGTAAGGAATAGTGGTATTACGATGCGCATGTATAATTTACTTGCACAGGCGAAGCATTAATATCAGTCGTACATGTACAACTGTTACCAACATGTCCATCCTCGAATCTTTTCTGGAATGTATCACCATGATTCCAACAAGCCCCATCCTTATCCTCACATTCTGTAATTAACACAACATATTAGTTTATGTAAACAACGTTTTATTAAAGATACATTATGTAAGACTTAGATTAGAGCTATAATAGTTCAAAAATAGATACGGAAAAATGGATGTATTGACATTTTCAATCAAATAACTCGTTTCTGAGGGAAGTTAACAGTCTGGATTGCTACGAAAATAAACAAAGACTCGAATATCCATTTTTAAATTAAATTATTAAATGGCAACAATTCGACGATTTAGAGAGGTGATTATGGCCTTGTCATGTGAATGAATGTCTAGTTAATAATTTATATAACATTTGAGGCCAAAAAGAAAGACCTGCAATAGGCAGATTTCTATCTTACATAATACATTTTAAATTACTGATGATTAATTTTGAGTTTCCATATAAAGCATGCAGAACTAAACTGAACTGGTCATTACCGAAAATTTTATTGTTATTAACAGAATATGTAGGAAATGAAAATTCAAATTGAGGACCCTGCCCTAAGACTGTATATATATATATACCTATATTTAATTTTGAATTTTGCACGATTCAATAGAGATTGTTAAAACGTCTAAGAATAGGAAATAGTTGACACTCGGTTTTTAAATGAACTGAAATGAAATGGGGTTTAACGCCCAACTGTTCTGCTCCGAACTGGGCTAATAAAGACGGGCATACGCCATACAGTGTTCTATGAGGGAAATTTTGCCCGGAACTCGATTTTAAATATTGTATGTTTGTTCACATCATATGCCTTTGGATGTGTACAGCATTGCACAGAAAACGAAACTCACTACAAGTGTATCTATTATGCTGTAGATCAATGTTCTATTTGTTTACGTTCAGAGCATAACTATGCAAAAAAGAAAAGAAGGTATCTTAATATAGTAAAAAAAACACATCAATTTTAAAAGCTTGCAAATTCGAACATGTTTTCTCCTAAAAGAGTTCTTTAAGAAGAGTAAATGAGTGTCAACGCAACGTAGCTTTTTAGGGACTAACACAATAAATATTTCGAAGGTGCAAAAAAAATGCCCAAGCGTTGTGTAATGGTCGTTCTCTCTGACACGTATTTTAGCAGTATCAAAACTAAATATTTGTTTTTAACGACAATATGAGCTAGCGATTAACTGAACAGGGGTTTCGGAAGATAATACTTACGAAGATTGGTATATTGAAACTGAATAGCTCCATCAGAGTTTTTCTCACAACGTCTTGTCATACAATTAGTCGTTGACTCATCATTTAAATCAACACATTTGGTACCATCATAACATGCTGAAATAAAATTGTAGTGTTTCAGTGTTTTATGAACACACCAATCAAAAATCATAAAAATCATAAAAAAACCCACCAAAACAAACCAAAAAAACCCACCCCAAAACAAACCCATCGTGTCAATATGTTTTATCCAACTCTCAATGAAAGTGATAAGTATGTCAGAATTGTAATTAGAAAGTAGGCCCACGAGGGAAATAAATATCTGTATAGGACTAGTGATTCCTTAAAGGGACAATAACACTCTTGCTGGCTTGACAGCTCCAGAAAATAAATAATATCTCTGTCTAAGTACTAGATGTTTAAGTGTCCTACCTGTTTTGTAAATTATCCATTACATCCTATTTTACTTGTCCAGAGGGTTCGAAAATATTTTTAAATCGAAGTTTCATTTGAAAAGGTTTACGTTAGATGTTCAAACCATTATGTTGAATTTTTCAAAATTTTTAAATAAGGTGTGTTAAGATGAAATTTGTATCATCAATTAATTGAAATATTCTAAAATAGTACAATTTGTTGACCAGAATAAAGATTGGGACATATTATTCAGTTACAACAAGAGTGGTATTGGGCCTTTAAGGCCTGTTTAATGTCTTTTTGTGTTTAATGTGTATTTTGTGTTGTTTTTTGCGATTCCTCGCACTAATATAATCAGAATCATTTCACATACCTTCTTTAGTCGTTTGGAAGCCAATGCTATTACCACTGTGAATACATTCCATTACAAGACAACCATTGAAATATGTTTTGTTTGTACCAATGGGTTTACAGTCTCCACTGCCATCTTGACATTCTGAAATTGAACTCTATAGTTAAGTAATTCAAATAGCAAGAAAAAATAAATAGATGTCTTTTATTACTGGTTAGTGTAAAATATATGTACCCATTATGTTCAATATTTTTATAGGAAAACCGGTATACCCGTATCTTAAATAATAATTGTAACTATCATTCACACAAAACCAGTTCTATTTAAAACCCACATCATTGGCATTAATCTGTGGATGGATGAGTGTACCGATACTGAAGTCAAGACAACCAGACCATAATGAAATAACTATTCAGAATGCACGAATCACATAGCTTTTGATCAAGATATTGACTAACGATTATACTATCCTTAATTAAAAGGCATTAAGTTTAAAACATTGTTTGAATTTGGTCCTTCAGAATAGTTATCTAACTAAGGTGTCTGGTAGCCGAGTTCCGCTGATAATTTGACCACTGCTTACGTTTGCATAACAAATGGCAAAACAATAATGCTAAAGATGCATTATGTAAGATTTAGATAAAGAGCTGACGATTATTGCTATAATAGTTCAAACAGATAATGCAAAATGAGTATATTGAAAATGTCATTCCAATTTGTAGTTTTGACAATTATGTGGAATATATTGCTTACTATACATGTTATTTGAGACCTTGCCTCGATTCGCCATTTTTAAATTAAATCATTAAATGGCGACTGGGTTTAATCCGTTTAAATCTCCACCATCCGATGATCAAGATAGTTATTTATAAGTTTGTCATGTGAATAAATGTCCAAATAATAGTTTATATAAGATTTGAAGCCAAAAATAATAGCCAGATTTAGCTCTTACATAATGCATCTTTAATGAATTAACATTAGCAATATTAGTTGATAACCGGAATCGGTTATGGAAAATGAATACTTACCGAGTAAAGATAATTCAATAGAACCTTTCTTACAGACATATTGGATGCATGGACTTCCGGTTCGTGTAAAGGTTTCATCATCATTGTAGGTATTATTATCATCCGTGCATTGCTCTGCAAAAAGTAAAAACAGATTATGTTCAATTTGTCCTACCAGGGGATTATAACTATGACACGCTATTTTATCTGAAAGTTCCGTACATACGAATCCATTTATTTTCAAATTTGCTGGGAATTTTTGGCTAGTTTGCGAAATACATTCTATGCTGGGTTATTGCTCCTGTCATTGAAAGCTTGAACAGCAACATGATGGAAAGCTTGAACAGCAACACGATGGAAAGCTTGAACAGCAACACGATGGATAGCTTGAACAGCAACACTATTGAAATTAAAAGTCTTGCAACGAATTTTCTCAGTTACTACCCCTGTCAATAAAGCCTTTTATACGACATACAATTCAGAGATTTTGAGAGATATGTTTCGATCCTGGTGGGAATATTCGGCTAGTTCACAGAGGAACCCCTATCTAATTCTGAGTCGTTCTACCATTTGCAAACACGCTTAATCACCAGCCAATGTAGTGCTTAGAATATGGGTTTCGTCATGTTTTGCTTTTGGCGTATTTCAATATTTCTTGATTGTTCCGTTGGTTATTAAGTAAATACACAAACACATATGAAACTTACGTGCGACCGCGGCAAAAGCCAATGCAATTAAGAGTCCCGATACTGTCAATTGCCAGGATTCCATCTTTTTGCTTATACAATATTCTTAGGTTGAAATATTTCTATGCGAATGATTTGGATAAGCGCTCAAATGCATTTTATATTGTGTAACGTTTTTTGCGATATTGATCAACTGTGTGTTATTGTTGAAATAAGTATTTGATATAGCAATTTTTTTCGTTATTGATTTGTTACATATTATATTAAAATATGACGAATATATTACATTATTTGTGGAAAAACTAAATGATATGGGGTTTTCATTTATGGCAAGATTTGGGGGAATTTGTGTGAAACTTTTCACCACAAGAGTTCCACAAGATATTGGACTTCTGAGAAAATACATTCCACAAGATTTTCGACATAGAAAAAGAATCTTCTATTTAAAAAAAACAAACATTTTTATGTCCAATATCTTGTGGAACTCTTGTGGTAAAAAACACTACAGACCCAAAACACCCTATGAAAATTATTTTAAGTCGAAAAACTTGTAAAGTGTGGTACCACACTGACACAGGCATATAAGGGGTCTGATAATGTCCAATATCTTGTTGAACTCTTGTGGTAAAAAAAACCACCACAGACCCAAAACACTCTATGAAAATATAGGGGATCTGCGAAGAAATCTATGAAATAATTGGTTTTTTTTCTAAGTCCAATATCTTGTGGAACTCTAGTAGTGAAAACACCACAGATCCAAATCACTGTATGAAAATTATTCTAAGTCAAAAAATCTTGTTGAATGTGGTACCACAAAGGCATATAGGGGATCTGAGAAGAAGTTTGTGAACAAAATAATTGTTTCTTTCTATGTCCAATATCTTGTGGAATTCGTATGTTAAAATCTGGTGGATTACAAGATGGAATTCCAAATGACATACGACATGCAGCATGCTATGCGTAAAATTTTGCAGTATCAGTGGGCTTTCCGAACACGCAAACGACTTCACGGGTGGACCCGTGTTGGTCCCACCTGAACGAATAAACGTCGTTTCCTTGTCAGATCCATACCACATTGTGCCACTGACAGGGCGCTAACAGCCTGGTAAATCTCAAGGAACTGGAGATTCCGCGTAAGTTCATCTGGAGTTTCAGGCGTGGTTCCCAATTGTCAGTAGTGAAGGACGGAGGGCCTGGCAAAAACAGCGTATAGTACTTAGGATGGGACGAGAACCTATGGTCCCGTGTACATATTGGCCTGAACGTAAAATATCCCTTGACAGTTGAAATCCGAGCCCAGTTAAAGAAGAACACTAAGACGTTAAACCCCATTTCATTTTAATTTTGCAACAATTTCAATTTTAAAAGTTAAATAATAGGAACAGGTATATATTTTGCTGTTGCATTCTTATGATTAATGTTTATTTGGAAATACAAATTAATTACAGTTATGCCTTACAAAATCAAATAAATTGATTATAAATGTGACAACATCTACAGGTGCATAATTTACGAGTTTTTGAAAGTAATTAGTGGATATTGAATCTTAATGTACTATACAAATATGGCAGCCATATGTTACGATGCAACAGATTGTTACGACATACTTGTACAAATAGAAGTTTTCTTAATGCGAAACTGTAGCTGTTCTCTTTCTAAAAAACAACAACAGAATTACTAAAATTCTAAACTGCCACAATATTTGTTACTTTCTCATATAAATATGTAACCGAAAGGTTAGTAGGGAAGGTTAGCCTGTTCTTTATTTCTTTGGTCATAATAATAATAATAATAATAATAACTCTACGAGCTGCTCTCTACAACTTTAAAAATACATAATCACAAACAATGATCTAACATTAATCCATAAAAAAGACATAATCGTTAAAATCACAGAAACAGAGCTTGGACCGCACGGAATCAGTTAAAAAAAGGGCTTATTTAAGAGGTTGATCGATTATGATTATTTTGTCAAAATTACAAGATGCCACTGTATAACCGTGTTCATTAGCGCACCCCATTTCATTTCACCACTGTATAAATGTTAGAATTCCCTATAGAAAAACATTAAATGTTATGACATATTATGGTTCAATTTTATTTCATTAATTCGCGTAGGGGTCTTTAGCAGTGGGAGGAAGACTCGGAGAAAACCCACGAAGTTGGACAGGCAATCCTGCTCCTTGTCACGTACAACCGGGGTATCGAAACCACGCCAGTTGACTCAATGACAGACCTTATGATACACCGTACACACGCTAACCATTCGGCCATCCAATCCCCTTAAATGAATAGAACCAATCTTAAAATTGTTTTACTTGTCAAAATACAGTATCTAAAAGGAAAAACATTTGTAGTAAGAACAGAAATTTAGGACAAATGGAATTCATCTTTTTTTCCAATCCAAACTATATATCAAGAAGGTATTGAGCATGGAACAACAAAGACAGCTTACTTCTAATTGATGTATTATTTAAGTGAGCGATGAGAGAGAAATGAGGTTTAACGTTCACTCGATACAAACAAGATCATTTCCCGTCTAACATATAATACAATTTTATTTCAATAACTTGCTTGTGAGTTCGGGTCTTTAGCTATGGGGGGAATCCGTAGAAAATCCAGTAAGTTTGACAGGCGACGCTACTTCTTAAGTGTCACATAGCCGAGACATTTGACATAATAACAGACCTTATAATTCGAATCGTGCGATTAGACCACTCGACCCTCCCCCCCCCCACTCCCCAAACACAAACACACACCAACTCCTGATCATTACGTTAAACATTGATTAATTATACTATAAAACTGTTGCAAATATCGAATAGTTAATCATCAGTACAATCTGTTCCGGATTTCAATGAGTAGAAATTTTTATATGTAAATTTAAAATCCAACTTTGATTTATTTACATTTCCTGAACAAATTAGAATTTGAAAGATACTTTGGCTAATCAAAAAAGAGCCCAGCCTATATATATATAGTGCAGCCAGCACATATTTCATTTTTAAATAGCAAATCGAACATTTACTGCAAGACCTTAAAGATGGCATCCAGACTATTAACCGTATCCTGTATCTTTGTATTCGTCTCTGTTATATACTCAGCAAATTTACCAAGTAAGTATATTTTTACACCGAGAGAGAGAGAGAGAGAGAGAGAGAGAGAGATATTCACAAACTCGGTCATTCTGGGACTAACATCTGGTTAATAATTTGCAGAGGTAGGAAACTGAAGGGCCCAGAGAAAACCCACGAAGTTGGACAGGCGACTCCACTTCTTGTCACGTGCATGTGTGGACTCGAAACCACGCCACCTGATTCTATGACAGACCTTATATGAGTTAAAGCGCACGTATTAGACCATTCGACCACCCAAACCCCGTTTTCGAGATCAACAAGATCTCAAATGTTTGTGTTTCCATTACAGCTATACCATGTCAAAATAGACTTTTTGTTTTTATATATAAACTTATATAACTGTTTTGAATTCAAAACCACCATTTTAACTTATAATGTCCATTATATTCTTCGTTTTTCGCTTCACCACTTGGTTGGTCCGCCCATTATTCATTATTCGGCAGTATTCATTATCCAAACCAGCTGCCTAGATTTACCTAGTAATTCCAGCACACAGTTCGCTCCTTACATAACACATGTTTTTTTCTATTTTCAGAGGATTGTAAGGTTGACGATAAAACGTATAAAAGTGGTGATACATTTACTAGAGCAAATTTTGGTGGACCTTGTAATATCTATCTATGCACAAATGGCGGATACGAAGTTAACAAATTTGGTAATACAATATTTCATTTTTTTTTTAATATATCTTACTCCGGCACATACACATTTCCTCGGTGGCACTCACTGTAACAAAAAAATAAATTTAAAGAGATTCCTTTTTGACAACTTGTACTCTCGCGAAAAGACCGTAGAGATATACTTATAAATCTAAACGACAATGTTATTGCTATAACACTATTATGGCGTTTTCGGACAAACGCTGTGAATACAAATTGATGTGAAATGGAATGAAATGGGCTTTAGCGCCCTATGTATCTTCGGCAACGGGACTAATGAAGACAGACATACACCATTCCTGGGAATTCCACAAGCCAAGGGTTTTGTTACGTGCATTCCCACGAGTACACGTGTAAACATCGGCTTTTGTACCATCCGGACGCTTTCCGTTGGAGTCCCACAGTATTACACCGTTAATTGGGGGAAACCAAGCTAGGAAATCCCGAGGAACTTTCTCGGCAAGCTACAAGATAGAACCCGGGGTTTGGTTGGTGAATCATGCCTAAGTTTCAACGTTTGTCATGAGGATTTTCCTTTTGGCCAAATGTTGTAAGGTGATCAGATTTATGTATAATCTTTTTTTTTTTAATGTTATAGGATGTTTCAACAAAGATGATCAGAAATGCTATGATGTCGACCAGGAGGTAACGGAGAAATGTTTTACTAAAAGATGTGACAAACATGGAAGCCAAATTGGATTCGTAAATATTAAAGCGCGTAAGTACTGTGTGGTCATTAGAAAAGCACCACGCTTATATCTTTTCAGCAATTGTCCTAAAATATTTTTTATACAAAATTATAACGAAATTTATATATAATTATAAAATACTTAAAAACTCGATCATTTGGATTTTCCTAATTATTGTAATGGTTTTTCAAACTCGGGTCACCATTTTCTATACTTTTATATCTGGTTTTCTTGTTCTTTTCTTCTACATTCAGAATGCCAAGATGCAGATAAAAAGTGTCATGATGCAGGCCAGACATTTACGAACACAGTCGATGGTATAGAATGGAACTGTTTATGTTCGTTAGAAGGAGAGAATAACGTCAACGCTCATTGTACCCGTACTACTTAATGAATTTAATAAAAAAATAATAATAATATTAATTAAAAGCGTTTCGCACGTGTGTTACTAGTTGTTGGTTTTTTTATAACAAGCTAGCCTGGGTGTCGCGTGATCGATCCCTGCATTGGCCGAGAAAGTTCATTGGGATTTTCCGGCGTGGTTTCCCATTGTCAGTGGTGTAGGATGGAGAACCTGACTTCTGTCTAGTCGTTCGGATGGGACAAAAAACGAGGTCCCGTGTATACATTGGTGTGCAGGTAAACGACCCCTTGGCAGTTGTAATTCGATATAAGAGTAGGCCATAGTACCGCTGCCTGGGCAAAATGTCCCTCATGGCACACTGTATGGCGTATGCCCGTCTTCATTAGCCCAGATGGAGCAGAACAGTAGGATGTTAAACCCCATTTTATTTCATTTCAGTTCATTTTTTTAATAACAAATAATACGACTATTAGGATAAATTATGCAAGAATTGGATAAAGAGCTGATCGTTCTTGCTGTTATAATTCAGAAATAAAATAATGAAAAAGGATACATTTCACCCAAATTACTCTATTCTGACGCTTTGGAGTTATCACCTTGAACTCCAATCACGTGGTTGCGCAAGGTCGACGATACGTTTGTGGTACTGGAAGAAAAAGATGAACCAATGACCCTATTAGACCACCTGAATAAACAGCATCCCAGAATTAAATTCACCATTGAGACCGAAAAAGATCAAGCACTACCGTTTTTAGATGTTCAAGTTGTGAAAGTTAACAATCAATTGAAAACCAAAATATATCGAAAATCAACCCATACAGATCAGTATATTAATTACAAGTCTAGCCACCCCCACTACATCAAAAAAGCCCTGATATCAACCCTAACACGCAGAACCATAAGCATTAGTGAACCTGAATTTCTGCAGGATGAATTGGATCATCTACGTCATGTGTTTTGCAACTTGAACAACTACCCTCCAGAACTAGTCATGAAACAAATCAAAGAAACAACAAAAAACATCAAAAAAGCCAACAAAAAACGCCCAAAGAGATGATTAGAATAATTTTACCATTTTATGGCAACCTATCATACCAAGTCAGCAACCTACTCAAGAAGTCCAACAATGATACCACATTCTCTGTCCCTACCACATTAAAACAGATACTGAAAGCGAATGGCAAACTAAAGCCAAGCCTACCTATTCAGCCCAAGGGAGTCATCTACCAAGTCAACTGCTCTTGTGATTTCTCATACATTGGTGAAAGTAAACGACCCCTAGATAAACGAATATCAGAACACCGATCCAAAGCTGCTACCAACAACTCAGCCATAGCAGAGCATCTTCGAAACCACCCGCAGCATAGAGTCGAATGGAACGATGTGCAGATTCTTACATCCAACCAACAGAACAAGAAAACCAGGAAAATCCTAGAAGCAATTAACATTAGAAGATACTCACCAGAACTGAACAGGGACGCAGGGCTTCACATTTCAAGGGCATATGATCACGTTATCAGGATGAATAATACCACTTAAAGGGTTCTAATTCCTTAATTCAGCGGCTTTACTTTACGTCGTTACCTCAAGTATTACAAACTGTCTACATTACTTAATATATCACTCTACTGGTTTCTCACAATCAGCCTGCCAACCTATACATGTTTAATCACCTCATATTGCTTATTTATTCCCATTATTTATTGTTTTTTATTGTTTATTCATATTTTGTTATGGTTTTCATTTGTTTAACATCATTTATTTCCTGGAATGCTTAATTAGTACATATTATTCGTGTTTATTTAGACTATGGATGTAGGGGTATGTTGTGTTTGTATTTCTTGGTGAATGGTCTCATCTTGATCACCTCATTAACTGTAATATGGTTTCACCCAATGGCTCCCTTTGAAGGCATTCATTGTTAGTCAATAGTATCCTTTGGTTGGACCATGGGTCTATTATATTATGTTGTTTTTACTTAATCGTTTACTTCTTATTGTTATTATTATTTAATATTTGTAAATGGCTTCATCATGAACTCTTATATATTAAACCCAAGTTTACTAAATGTCATTGTGCTTGATAACGATAAGAGGATACTTGTCGAAACGCCGTGCTATGAGAATAAAACCAGTGATTGTTTCCCATAAAAATTGTGTTCTGTTATTATCACAATATAGTTTCTATTGTCAAGTAACATTACATTGTTACGATATTACGGCAATCATGATGTATTTTGTGATATCTATCACCATTTTCTAGGTGTATTTCTATAACGGAGATAAAGGTCCGGCCTACAAACAAATAACTATGTTCCCAGGTATATATTTCCGACATTGTTTGAGCATTATGTGAATGTAGTGATGAAGAACGGAATCTGAATGCTTTTTTTTATTTGTGAAAAGGAAGCGAAAACTCTAATTCCATAGCGCAAAGTGTGTCACCGCGTACGCTTCACTTATCCCCTGAGATACATGTATTTGTGTAAGACAATTTGTTGTTATATGTGACACTAAATTTAAAAGTGCCACTACCACTGTGGTATGAATTTTAGAACTAGGTTTCTTGGCAAATAGAATGACCATCCATTCCACGATTCCCATTACCTCTCTGATCACACAGACCAAACGACCACCCAATCGCACAGACCAAACGACCACCCAATCGAACCTAACATTTTGAAAACTGAAAACAGGACTGGTGTCGTTACTCTCACACCAACCCTCGAGTAACGCTGGTGATAACTAAAATAAAGGATTAGATTTGAAGACTTTCTGGCATATTTACCTCGTCCAGTTACAGGCAATTCCCATATGCATAATACACGATATTAGATATCTGATCATCCCCTGTTCACTTAACTATTTTAGAACAGTAGTGTTTAATGGGAAATTTGACATTTTTCTATGTGAACAAGAAAATATTCTGGAATGTAATATATATCAAATTAATGTAAATTAGTTACTATTGCATTCTCATTTACATTGATATTACGAAAAATATTCATATATGCAAAACGGTGTAAATTGGCTTACACAATTCAAATACTTAACTACCAATCGACAATATGATTAAAAATTTAAATTTCTAAAAATGCCACGTTCTCTGCGTTCGTTGGATTTCAATTACAAACAGGCCTTGGGAAAGATGGCTGAGATGCATTTAACTATTCTGGTAGTCCTGATGTTGTCACCACTTGCAGATTCACGTGAGTACCATCTATATGAATCTGTTGTCATGATTTATTTGATACGCTCACGCAATAGCTAAGCAATTTTTTTGTGATGTGAATTGAAATGAAATGGGGTAAACGTCTTACTTTTCTGCACCGACTGAGCTAATGAAGACGGGCATTCGCCATACAGAGTCATAATTATGCTGGAACTTTTGTCGGACAGCGGCTGCCTCGTCAAGGGTTATTTTATGCGAACAACTAAACACTTCCCTTGCCAACACCAGGACTGAACACGAGACCCCCAGGATATCTAGTCAGAGTCTTGCTCACCGAGACATCAATTTATGTTGCACAGTTGTATCGGAACAGGTAGCGGCGGAGGTTTAGTGAGTAAGCCTTTGACTCGCTAACCTGGATTTCCCGTTGTCGATCCCGAGTTGGGCCGGTAAAGTTCATCGGAGTTTTCTGGCGTGACCCCCCCCCCCCGTTAGTGTTGCAGGGCAGAAGAATCGACAAGGGATAGCATATAGTCGTTTGGATGGAACAAAAACCCGGGGTCCCATGTACACATTGGTGTGCACGTAAAATATCCCTTGGCAGTTGGAATTCGATATAAATAATATGCCGTAGCGCCGCTGTCCGTACAAAATCCCCCCAAAGCACATATGCTCGTCTTCATTAGCCCAGTCGGAACAGAGCATTTCATTTCATATCTGAACAACCGGACTGCTGACTGTTTACAAAACTGAGTTCTCCCAAAAAGTTTTGGATTCTAAATTCCGAGTTTACGTGTAGTGCACAATCAAAATATACATGTAATTTCTAGAGCTTTTTGAGTTGTATATTACTCAGAGAAAATGGTCAATATATATTTCGGCTATTCCATAGTAAAGTTTTGGATTCTAAATTCCAAGTTTACGTGTAGTGCACAAACAAAATATACATGTAATTTCTAGAGCTTTTTGAGTTGTATATTACTCAGAGAAAATGGTCAATACATATTTCGGCTGTTCCATAGTAAGGGCTCGATCCTTGTCTTAGCCGAGACAGTTCCTATACAATTGCCAAGTACAGGAAAGGGCATGGAACGGTGTCTATTCGATTGGATAAGACAAAAAATATAGGTCCCGTGTACAAATTGGAATTCGACGAAGAGTAAGCGGGAACGCCGCTGTCCGGGCAGAATTTCCTTCATAACACGTCATAATTATCTGGATAGTACATAACAGTGCTTTAGAATCTGTCAACCACCCAGACTAACCGTATTTCAGGTACTGCAGTGAAGACCAAGGTTTCCTACAGGTAGGATATAGCGACATACTGGTCTTTTCATATAGATGTATATGTTTTATTTGATACAATATTGTATTATAATAACATCTAACAAATTGATTTCAGAGAAATGTACAGACTATGGCTCGGGCAAAACATATAATACTGGAGATATATTTGCCAAGGCAGCGGGTGGACCATGTATCAAATACTTATGTCAGAAAGGTTCACATCTTGTACACACTACTGGTGAGTATTATTTCTACAAAGAACCTCTTATGGCGTCTACGGACTTAGTCGAGCGGGACTTCGGTGCGATTGGGTTCAAATTTCGTCAACGTCACACAGACATGTGACTAATATATGTTAATTTTCTTTTCATTGGATACGTGTGTGAGGGATAATTCTAAATGCGAATGTTTCTTTTACGTGCACGATACTGGAACCTCCCGATCTGAAAAAATATCTTTGATTTTTTCCGTGTTTATACCCACAATTCTTACCCTAACACTTCAGAATAGTTTTAGCCACAATCCACCGTTGTTACAGCTTCAATTTGTACGTTTGACATGTAATTTATAACCTAACCCTAACCCTAACCCTAGAGAAAGATATTTCCCAAATCGTACAAAGATCTAGTATTGTACCTTTTACGTACACGTCAATTTGTACACGATATGAAGTTCGGGTTTGCTTTCCATCCGAACGTCTAGGTACATGTGTCTTGTCAGTCCAACAGGGACCAACCCGAGACATTCTAGCTAGTTCCCTAGCGCCCGACCACCACGGCCACCTACCACACTTTACAACAGTCGTAATTAGCGGAATTATTATTTAAAATCATATACCAAGAAATTTATTAATAAACTGGTACATGGTTTATTTTATACAGAGTGTCTTAACCCGAATGATTCCAAATGCTATCCTCTTGGTACATCAATTACTCAAGGTTGTATGACTATTACTTGTATTGAAATAGGTGGTGGAGTTCAGTTCAGAATAACCAAACGAAGTAAGTACAGTGGCAATGAAATGGGACTTAACGATCCCCTTTTCTGCACTCACTGGGCTATAACGCCATACTGTGTGCTATAAAGAAATATTTTACCCAGATAGCGACGCTACGACCTATGGTGTACACAGAACTTCGGTATTTGTACCCACCCGAACGACTAGACACTGTTACTTGTCCTGCACCACTAACAATTAGAAATCATGCCTCAAAATCCGGGGAACTTTTCGGTCAACACAGGGAGCGAAATCGAGGCTTCCTGATTAGTGAGAAAGTGTCCTACTCATTGAGTCTACGCGGTTCCCAATACGGAAACTATAACTACCGGTTATTACCTAATAAATGATTAAATGCCTGCAGTAAGGTGGACAATTATTACGGGAATGTTCGAAATTTTGCAGCTTTAGTACAACATGTTTATTGTCTGTTTCAGAATGTTGACGTAAAGAGGATACCACCCAGTAACCATCCAAAGTGTGGGTACATCGATCATCAATATAAAGTTTTAAAAAAAGCATTTAATTAATGAAATAAAATTATGTGAAACATGCACCTACTATCTTTTTATGGCTTCTTCCAAATGGTCGTGACAGTTGGAGAGTAGACCTGGAAGTATGGAAACCTGACTCACCCAACTATCTACGCGCAGTGTCGGATTTAGATGAAGAGAGCCCTGGGCTAATCCAGTTATAAGGCCCCTCCCAACCCCAACCCCACAGCTGGGGGAGATGAAAACCGAAGATGATGACGGGTTTAAGAAAAGCTTGTGACAGTGTCAAAAATATTATACACGTTGTATGTCCTTGATTACGTTAGTGCATACCCAACTCTGCACTTCTTGATTTGGTCAAATGCAGTTGATCAACCCAATAGCGTTCAATTCCATAAGGAGGGAGCATATCCGATTTTAATTTGTATTTAAAGCTATTGAATTCCAAAAAATATTATTGCCTTCGTAAATCATCTTTTGGGGAATAAATATGAAATTTTGGTACATATTATCTCTGTGACTAATTAAGATATCTTCACTACATAATCTACTACATAATCATACCAATATTTCAAAAGTTATCATAAGGCGTTTTTGTGAACCGATTAGATTAGACCGATTAGCTATTATACGCATTTGTGAACCAAGTTGATTATGCTAATCGTTACATTTGTGAGACGATTTAACTCAACTGATTAGGCAAATCGACCTAATCGTCCCAGGAGGTGTTTAGGCGATTAGATTTGACTTTTTCAAAATGGCGGAATGTTCGACGTCGTAAGTAATTTTTAATGCTTATTGTTGTTTTTCTCCATAAAAAATGTTTTTTTAAAACACATTTGACGTGTTTAATGTTAACTTTATAGTCCACAAGAATGTTAGATCACCTCTAAGCAATTTTATTCATTTACAGTTTTTTCAATATATTCCTCGATCCTATAGGTTTTCTCAGTAAACTTTTTACATGTTTTGTCACTTCAGTTTTCAAAAAAATACTTGAACTTTTTGGACATAGGAGATTGTTTCTAACGGAAACCATTTTTCCGTTTTTGCGTAGATAACCTTCATTTGTCTTTAACAAGTCATCAATAATTAGCAGAGACAATTTTTTTTTCTGATCGGTGTCCGTGATGGCAGCCATCTTACCAAATCGTAATTATCAAATTTCATATTTGTGGACCATAGCTAATCAAATCGAAATCATACCAAATCGTACTAGCAAATCAAAACCTAATCTAATCGACTCACAAAAATGCCACTAATATTTCAACATAGACAAACTATAGCTGATGCAAATGTTTTAAATAACGTTTCCACGAAAATTATTTAAAAAAAAACATTATGGGAGATTAGATAAAGAGCTGGCAGTTCTCTCTATCAAAGTTAAAACTAGATAATGTAAAGGGAATTTGCTGAAAAGTCAAATTGATCCGCTGTGAACAGAGAATTTAGAGATTGAGTTTTCGGCCTAGCCTCGATCATCATTACTAAAGTCGGTACGATAAAAAAACATAGTCTCCATTATCCATTTCATGATTAAATCATGAATGAAAGTTCAGCAGCAAATCAGATCCTAATCCATAAATATCGCAGGCTAGCAATGACACCAAGAGTTAATTATGGCCAGGATAAGCTAATTATTAATATCTAACTAATAGTTTAGATAACATTTCGAGCCTACAGAAAGACCTGAAATAGGCAGATTTAGCTCTTGCATAATGTATGTTTAATTAGAAACGGTTTGTATGGATATAAGGCAAATGACTACATAATAATGAATGATAGCGCTAGTAGTTCGGTGGCTCAAGGGGTGTGGTGATCTGTGTGGTGGTCAGGCGTTCGAGGGAGCTTTCCCCGATACGGGTAATGGGGTGGGTAACATTAATGTCTTTAATGGGGTTGAAATGTGATAATGTTGACGATCATCTTCTAGCAATTTACATCTCTACAGAAGTATAGGATCCTCTTATATAAATGTTTCGTTTTGTGTTGGTACGGGGGTGGGGTAGGTGGGTAGGAAGGCAGTATGACGCTTAAAAATGGAGGGAAATGTGATAATGTTGGTATATATGTTTGTTAGCTTTGAATCAGTAGTGAACAAGGCATCATCTATATATATATTTGTGACTGTCGTTTGTCTGTCTGTCTGTTTGTCTGTTCGGGGTTGGCGGCTACACTAGGTCTGCCCCGAGTCTGGAATTTGATGTATAGGGGTAGCTCGGACCGGGGAATAACATAGGCCAGGTGGCGTTAGTCTACAACTTCCGGTTTCGGAGTTATGACCCCCGAGCGAAGCCGGTCTGTTCGGGGTTGGCGGCTACACTAGGTCTGGCCCGAGTCTGGAATTCGATGTATAGGGGTAGCTCGGACCGGGGAATAACATAGGCTAGGTGGCGTTAGTCTACAACTTCCGGTTTCGGAGTTATGACCCCCGAGCGAAGCCGGTCTGTTCGGGGTTGGCGGCTACACTAGGTCTGCCCCGAGTCTGAAATTTGGGGTATAGGGGTAGCTCGGACCGGGGAGTAACATAGGCCAGGTTGCGTTAGTCTACCACTTCCGGTTTCGGAGTTATGAGCCCCGAGCGAAGCCGGGTATCTGTCTGTCTGTCTGTTCGGGGTTGGCGGCTACACTAGGTCTGCCCCGAGTCTGAAATTTGGGTTATAGGGGAAGCTCGGACCGAGGAGTAGCATAGGCCAGGTGGCGTTAGTCTACCACTTCCGGTTTCGGAGTTATGACCCCCGAGCGAAGCCGGTCTGTTCGGGGTTGGCGGCTACACTAGGTCTGCCGGGAGTCTGAAATTTGGGGTATAGGGGTAGCTCGGACTGGGGAGTAACATAGGCAAGGTGGCGTTAGTCTACCACTTCCGGTTTCGGAGTTATGACACCCGAGCGAAGCCGGTCTGTTCGGGGTTGGCGGCTACACTAGGTCTGCCCCGAGTCTTAAATTTGGGGTATAGGGGTAGCTCGGACCGGGGAGTAACATAGGCCAGGTGGCGTTAGTCTACCACTTCCGGTTTCGAAGTTATGACCCCGAGCGAAGTCTTACTGTTCGGGGTTGGCGGCTACACTTGGTCTGCCCGGAGTCTGAAATTTGGGGTATAGGGGTAGCTCGGACCGGGGAGTAACATAGGCCAGGTGGCGTTAGTCTACCACTTCCGGTTTCGAAGTTATGACCCCGAGCGAAGTCTTACTGTTCGGGGTTGGCGGCTACACTTGGTCTGCCCGGAGTCTGAAATTTGGGGTATAGGGGTAGCTCGGACTGGGGAGTAACATAGGCCAGGTGGCGTTAGTCTACCACTTCCGGTTTCGGAGTTATGACCCCCGAGCGAAGCCGGGTATCCTGCTAGTGTATCATATTCTTAACTGCGTTTGTTATGTATGTTTGTTCTAATTTGATTTTTTTATTACTGTATTTGTATGCTGCTCCCCATGGGCGTTTTCATGCAATAAGATTTATCTTATCTTATAGAATAGTGAAACATTCATTTATATCCATCGATAAAGAATGCCCTTGGTTTGCTTTGTGAGGGGTTGTGATGGGGGTTGATTTGGTGTGGGCGGGGTGGGGCAAGAGTGTGCGTGCGTGTGTGGGTGCGTGTGTGTGGGGGTGGGAGTTGGGGTGTAATGCCTAAAAATGCAAGCAGTTGTCCTAGCTACATCATACACTTGTTAAGAGCTGTACATTGCTATAATTGAATGCTTTACGAATCTATATAAGATAGGTATAATGTATAAATTTCCCGGTCATTTTAGGAATTGTCCTATACAGGACTTTTGTCCAAAGGGCAAATTATACACTTGCTAGAAAGCATTTACTAATCCATCATTGACACCTACATTATCACATTTCTCGTCCATAATGCACCGAGCGAGAGAGAGAGAGAGAGAGGGAGATAGAGAGAGAGAGAGAGAGTTGCAAACTGAAATGAAATGAAATGGGGTTTAACGTCCTACTGTTCTGCTCCTAAACTGGGCTAATAAAGACGGGCATACGCCATACAATGTGCTATGAGGGAAATTTTGCCCGGACAGCGCTACGGCATACTCTTTTATCGAATTCCAACTGCCAAGGGATCTTTTACGTGCACGCCAATATGTACACGGGACCTCGGTTTTTCGTCCCATCCGAACGACTAGACAACTGTCCCTGTCAGGCCCTCCGTCCTGCATCACTGACAAGGGGAAACCACGCCGGAAAATCTGGATGAACTTTCTCGGCCAATGCAGGGATCGAACACCCGACCTCCAGGCTAGCGAGTTGCAAACTGAAAGAATGCGAATGACTAAATGTTTTCTAATTTAAACGACTTTACCCACCCCATTAATACACTATTTAATGTTGTGTGATTAACAAGGTATGATAAATTACTCTTATAACACAAAAGGGCAATTACTATAATATTTTTCTCTTGATAAAGTACAAAGAAAGGTTAATGAAAATCCACTCAATGTCCAGTCTATTAAAGCTGTTACCATAATTAGTGTCAATTTTCTACATACTGAATTAAACAGCTTATGTTTAATAGGGCGTGGCGTTTGCTTCCCAAGAACAAATGGAATTCCTGTACGTCAAGAAGAATATTGTCAACAACCAATGAAACAATTTGTAAAAAAGGGTATTTAAAGTCGGTGATTCCTCGTTTTTATCACTGTTTCTGTTTGTAAACTATCTGAAAATAACACTAACGCTCAAGATGGCATCTTTACAATTAGCTGGACTTTTAGTTTTAGCAGCCACTGCATTTGCAACTCCAGGTAAGTATATTAAGATATTAGTTCAAAGGTGATTATCTGGCTTTATATAAGTCGTAATTAAAGGACGGAATAAATTTGGTTATATGAACAATATTACGTCGATTAATATAGTTGTAGAATTTAATGTGTTACATATTTTTTTCTAGATAAATTGTATATTATAATAAAACAAATCGTTTATATAAATTTGTTTTACAATTTGCAGTAGAAAAAAGGTCCTGTGAACCTGCAGATTCGGGACAGACTTTTCCCCATGGAGAAACTTTTACATTAGAATCAAGTGGACCCTGCATCAAATACCTCTGCGACGATGCCAGCTACGCACCATCTTCCATTGGTAAGTCAGACTAAATAGAATACCTGACAATATATTTGTTTGGTCCTTGGTATGCTGCAAATTTATTTATTACTTTTTACAAACAATTATATAGAAATACGACCTAAACATAATGATTCTAATTCAGAAAGGTAAATGATATTTAAAGGCCATTCAAAAAAAAAATCTAGCGGTTTCATATCAATCAACTAGAACTCGTTGATCGGCTAGTAAACACGTTTAAAACATTTGGGTAAAAATAATCCTGTACATCTTTAACTTTCTCCATCCTTATATCTGTCTTGGAGTGTGGCTTAAAGAAGTCTATGGTGCAGATAACCATAGAATTATAGATTACCAAATTTTGTTGAAGCGTCAATTCGCATGCCATTAATTCCCTTACGCTCATTAATAATTAAAGGACAACATTATCAGGGTTATAAAAGGTATAATTATATTATAATTAATAAGATTCGAGCAATTAGGCAAATCAAAATTTTTTTTATACTTATAAAATGCGAATTTTCAATTGACATTTCAAGTTTTTAAATACTGGTTTTTGTTTCATATTTACAAAACGTAGCACATACCAAATGCAAATTTTTTATTCACAAGTCAAGGGTTTTTTTTATCATACGTTTAAGATGTATTGTAATTACTTTTTACAGAATGTATGAATCCCGCTGATGGTTCATGCCATGCTGTAGGTACAGTTATCACTCCAAACTGCGTTAAAAAAGAATGTGTCCATGATGGCAGTGTCGGATTCCAGGTTATAGAGCGCAGTAAGTAAATTACAGTATGAGTCGAGAAGAAACCTCGCAATGTTTCAAGTCTGTGATCACTTATCAGGGGTGGAATCTGCGCGACTGATGGGAACTAACTAGACGAGTAAGAGAGAGAGAGAGAGAGAGTGTGTGTCTGTGAGGGAGAGAGAGTCTGCGCGCGTGGTCTCTAGCAGTGGTTACGTCTAAGCTTGGGTTCGAAACCTAGCCACTTGACTCACTGACACACCCTATGAATTAAAGCACACGCATTAGACCATTCGACCATTAGATGCAGGGAAATATTTAGAAATATAAAATATACCAATGTACATTGCCATTAATGATTTTAGATGGTAACCCATCGTATCCTGTCGGCAGAAAGACCAAAGATAATCGAGCCGCGGTGGCTCGCTGACTCACTAACCAGGAGACCTCAGGGTTGCTCCCGGTGTTTGCCGAGATAGGGCCTATCCGGGACAATGTCTAGTTGTTCGGATGGTAAGGAAAAGTAGGATGTTAAACCCCATTTCTTGATAGATAGGATAATTAAAGAAAGTAAATATGTTTGGTTTAAAGTACATGTGCGTGAATTGTATTTTGTTTGATAATATGGAATTTGGACGCTTATCTGGACCTAGATTGGTTATATAACATTTTAAAGCTAGGTGATCTTCCGGCTTGGATTCAATCCAATTAAATAAAGGACCATCCTTTAAATATTCCTATTAGACATTTAGCTTTTGAAAGGCATTCCGATATCACTCAAATCAGATTAAAATAAACTATTGAATTAGTTTAATCTGATTTCTTATTAACATTAGTGATGAGGCAAACCCTGGTACATTTTTAATTTGGCAATTTCCGATTTTTATTTTAGAATGTGCCGATAAAGACGGCGAATGTCACAGCCCCGGTGACACTTTTTCTAGAACAATCGGTGGTCAGGATTACTCAAATTGTTCCTGTGAAATAGAAGAAGGTGGCGATACCAGCTACACCTGCTCTGGTTAGTTTTATGTAATAAAACCACAAACAGCTTTACTAGTGTTTCTGTTTTTATTCTTTCAACGTGTTAGTACATCAAAAAACTTGTTAATTATCGATACGGAGACAATGTTCATTCAGTTAATGACGGATATATAAAAGCGTTAAAGTAGCTAAGTCTCTAACTCAATATCATCCAAAGTCTTCGACATTGAAAACACGAATTATTTGTCAATTCAAATCAACATTGGTCTTGTGATCTTACGGGGAAAAGGTGGGCTTCTGATATCCAATATTCAAGACAAAATAAACATTTTATTATTGGTACACATAATGCGTTTCAGTGCCATTTGGAACAAAGGGCTCAAAGAACGAGGCTAGAAATATTCCACAAGTCATGTCAAATGGTGACGTAATATTCTTATCTGGAGAACATGCACAATAAACACCATCGGCGTAGACTGGAATAACCAGACGCTAAAGGATCTTAAATGATAATTACCCAAAGAAACTGCTTACATGAAGGTCCCGGGTTCTATTTGGGGATTTTCGGACGTGGTTACCCCTGTAGGTTATGCTGGACGGAGGACCGGGCAAGGACAGTCATTGGTTGTTCGGATGGACGAAAAACTGGGGTCCCATCTTGACAATTCAAATTCAGAGCGTCACTGTAGTGTTTAGATAATCTCACGAATAAGGCACGAGAGTACGTCCTAAGAACCCTGCATGATGTTCGTATCCCGGCCTCTAAGCCGAGGCGGCTAATGGTATAACTCTCTAGGAAGCCCACATGATGTCTTCCCTAGGGACTCCAAATGATGCCTGAAGGGAAATTTAACCCGGCGTCTTCTTATATAGGAAATATAGATGTATCAGGTATAAGGGCAGGACAATTACCATTTTTGGGTATGTGTTTTGTATGGGCGCCGTTTTACGTTAACATTATTCTATTTTATTGGAGTAAACTTTGGACAAGATGACTAGACGATAGCACTCTATCCTCAGCTATTGATGGTGACAGGAACTGTCTGTGAGTTAGTCTAAGAAAGTTGAATCTTGCAAAATACCTACTCGGCCCAATTCCCATTGTCACCCATTAGTTTAACCACTTCGATATATTAAACAGAGCACCTTACATAGAACTAAAATAACCCCTATTACACTGGCGTTGTTTACTCTTGTCGGTTATGCAGGACGGAGGGTTTGACAAGGACAGTACCTTGTCGTTTAAATGGGACGAAAGGTCGAGGTCCGTGAAAAAAAACCTTGACAAATGGAATTAAATTGCTGCCCGGACAAAATTACCCCGCTGCGTATGCCCGTCTTCATTAACCCGGACTCTTGTCAAACAAGAAACAAGCATGCCGGAGGTTAGGGTTTTTTCGAAGAGCGTTGCCCCTAAGAACAAGAAAGCATCAACAAGAACAACAAGATGAGAAGCGCATAGGAACCAGTTACTAGTCCAAAATTAAGTCAAATCTTTCAATAGGTCTCCAAATTATAGACACCAGAAAAGTATAGAAACCATGTCGATGGTGGATATAGGATATTCGAAAGGGACTTTTTTTGTTTTTGCCGATTTTCCCGAAAAAAACAAAACACCCAGAATCGACTAAAAAAGCGAAATATGTTACATCGTACATTAATACAGTCTGTGATACTCTTATTTCCATAATAGATCTACGGTGGCTAAGTGTAAATGGTTTTTGTATTTGATGACGAGTAAGCGATAACGCTGCTGTCAGGGCAAAATTTCCCTCAAATATAGGAATTCTAGCTCACTACATGGTGTAGACCTATATTTGTCAACACGGACCGATCTTGATCGAGGATAATTAATATTGGAGTAAACAATCGTGTATCATCATTTTCACAAAAGTAATTCCAGACCAATTGTCCATGACGGGTGATCGAAGTGTATTCCAGAGAGAACTTTTCGCAACCGATTTTCGGAATAATGATCAGTAATGGAGTAATAAGCATTTTGCACAAGTTTACTAACGTAGTTCTAGGGTATATAAAGTAGTTAATAATGGGGATACAGATTTTTAGCGTTTTCTTGGTATATGTTAGGGCTTATTGCGGTTTGTGATGAACACCAGAATTAGCTTTTGTATCTTTAAACGTAGTTGATGTTTTAAATTGTACACCGTTTAAATGTGACTCCTGCATTTTGATTGATCAGTTAGCCATTGTTGATTGGAAAATAGCACACCTCTAAATACGGCAATTCATCGGGTCACAATATCCAGCGTACTACTTTAGGATTGTTGACCACAACGTAGACAATTAATTTTGACGCATTTTATAATAATAATAATAATAATAATAATTGATTTATATAGCGCCAACAATTCAACTCAGCGAGCTGCTCTCGGGCGCTTTACATAAGTACACCTAATATAAAATTACAACAATCACAACACATTAATCCATAAAATAATAGACATAAACAAAAAACGGAGAACATTATTTAGTACACATGGTAAAAGTCTGACACAAACACAGCTAGAACCGTATTCAATCAGTTGTATATTTGATTAAAAAGTTCGGTTTTGAGGTACTTTTTAAAACCTTTTAACAGAATTTGCGCTTTTGATTTCCATAACTTCGCAGCACCTACGGCGAAAGATCTATCACCGGAGTTGGTTTTTGAAAAAGGCTTAATTAAGAGGTTGTCTGATTGTGATCGAAAGGTTCTGTAAGGTTTATTGGTGTTGAGAAGGTCTCTAAGGTATTGAGGTGAAGAGTCATCATTTAGAACAGAATACGTAATAGAAAGTAATTTAAAATTGATACGTTGACGGACTGGAAACCAATGGAGATCTTTCAAAATTGGTGTCATATGTTCATTTGGTTCCGTCTTGATTATGATCCGGGCTGCTTTATTTTGAAGTTTCTGAAGTCGTTTGATTTTATTTTCAGGTAGATTGTACAAAAGTGAATTACAGTAGTCGATTCGTGATGTAACCATAGTGTTTACCAGCATTTTAGTCGTGTCACAATCAATGAAAGATCTAATTTGTCCAATATTGTAAATCTGGAAATTAATACTTTTACACATTTGTCTATTCATGTCCAGATGAGGGTCAAAATAAACACCAAGATTTTTTTTACAGAATCTGCTGGTGTAATAGAGATATTACCAATTTGATAGTTTTCTGTTTTAGATTTTAGTAGTTGCTGCCTGCTGCCGACTTTCATTATTTCTGTTTTGTCATCGTTGAGTTTTAATAAATTTGAGTCCATCCATTTACGAATATCTGATAAACAGGCCTCAAGTTTGCATATCTCAGATGGTTCAGAAGAAGGCTCAAAAGCTATATAAATTTGAGTGTCGTCGGCGTACAAATGGTAGTTAAGACCGTGTTTACGAATGACATTTCCTAAAGATGTTGTGTATGTGGTAAACAATAAAGTCCTAATGATCCCAGGACAGACCTATTTAACATTAACTATCTAAATTCGATGCAGGAAGTGTTGCCTAAATGGTTAGTACTCACTTGATTGATAGGTACGTTTGTTGTTTGTTGTTTTAAATGTGTATATTGTGTGTATTGTCCGCGGGGTTGTTTTGTATAATTGTTTATGGGTGGTGCGGTCTTCCTCCGGTAACTTCTATTGTATTTTAGAGGTTGATTTTGGTTTGTTATCTTGTAGCGACACGGAAATTTAATTTGTTTATAGGTTTTATGATAAATAATATAGTGTATTGAGCAAGCGCACCTTTAAACTAACACACTGGGAGTGAACTGGAGACATTTCATCCGGATTTTCCGGCGTGGTTCCCCTTGTCAGTGGTACACAGAGAGAGAGAGAGAGAGAGAGAGAGAGAGATAACGTCCATTCAACACAAACTAAGTCATTTTAGGACTACTATGTTTTTCAATTTTATTTCAATAATTTACAAGCGTAGGGGTCGTTAAAGTAAGCACTTTTTCTTACGTAAGAAACTTTATAAAATACCGTCTCTAGAAAATTCTCAAGACCATTCTTTCGTAAGCACAAGTCAAGTAGGAGTCTAAGCACATTGTGAGTGGTAAACTAAGACTACGATGCTCTCTAACGTCATAAAAACAATTTTGGTCTGCGAATTACTTGATAAATTGGTCGGCTGTTTCCCGGCAAAAGATCGATTTAGATGCATTTGACGTGTCCCACAAGCATAAAAAAAGCGCAAGCACATGTAAACAGACTGAATAATTGCGAGAGCGTCTGATCTTAAAGTAGCCCATGTATTTGTATTGTTTACTTATTGGTTAATAAATAAAATGGTTTCAAGGTAGAAGCGAAATTTTCTATAGCATTATTCTCGAGAATATGTTTCTAAAGGATTTTCTCTGTCTTTCAATTGTCTCTTTGGTATCAAAAGATGTAGGAAATGGCGTCGAATAACTCTACGGTCAGCCATCTTGTTTGAAGCAGAAATATACTTAAGGTTGGGACTTCTGCTTAGATTGACAATGTTTAAGAATGAAGTTGTGCTTAAGTTTTTTCTTGGAACACACATAACGTGCTTGTGCTTAAAATCTAAGCACAGAAACGTTCTTAAGAATTTTCTGGGAACACAATATAAGATAAGTTTACGTAAATGCAAAGTCTACTTAAAATCTAAGCACAAGAACGTGCTTAAGAATTTTCTAGGAATCGGGCCCAGAACCCCAAGAGGTTGGATAGACGACCCTACACCTTGTCAGGTACAAGTGGAGATTAGAAACCCTGCCATTTGACTCAGTGGCAGATCTTGTGATCAAAACGTTAGCCATTCGGCCACCCAGCTACCTCGTCCGTGTGGGACGAAAATCCTAGGTCCCGTGTACACACTGGCGTGCTCGTAAGAGTAAACCGTAGCTGTCCGGACAAACTTTCTCTCGTACATGTATTACATTTGATATAGCGGACATTACTGTC